TTGCCCTTGTTCTGGTGAAATCAGTGCTTTCTTAGAGTTTTAAAGGGTAAAAAGGCATTCATGACTACTTTTCTGAGCTTTCACAAAACTTTCCCCAGCTTTTCCCAAACTTTCAGCTTGTATTTTTGACACATGGGCCCTGGAGAGAGAGGGGCATCATTCCCAGGGGAGACGATTGCCATCCAGATATCTGTGCCTGAGCCCATGTCTAGGTTCCCTTCATCGTCAGTGGGCAGAGTACGATTCCTCAAGGGGTGATTCTTCTTCTCCTGTGAAAAGTCCTGTGTCCCTGGGAAGGTCAGATGAAGACACTTGAACATCTTTTTCTCTTTGAATCTAGAAGATTCAAGAGCAATTTGTAGGTGTCTCTCTTGCTCTGTGTCACTACTTAAGCAAGGTGAGATGTGTCATACTTGGGTGTGTAAATACACAGTTCAGTACTGCATACAAAATAATGTAATTTCTTCTGTCATACTTCTAGTCAGTATTTCCTGCTGATACAGCAAAGGGGGTCTGCCTATGAGCTGCAGCAGTACATCAGCTGCTTCTGTAGATAAGATTTCTTTTGTCATCATTTAAGCCTTTTCAGTGTTTCCAGGATATAGCCCTTCAGAGTTTTTGAACCCACTTTATCAGCGAGTCAGATGGCTCTGTTTAACTGAACTATCCTTATTATATTTGCCACTGCCACAGATTTTTTGCTATTTGTGAAAATTATCATGCTCTTTTCTTCCTGGTTTTTTTGGGGTTTTTTTTTGCTAAAAATGTAAAGTAGGGCTAGGATGAGAACTGCTCACTTTCTGGAAAGAGAGAGAGAGAAATCTGAAGTCCATACATCCATATCAGATTGTTTAGTACCTTTACAAGCTGAGCAAGTTATTGCCTTATTGGATTTATTTAACAAGTCCTTTTAAACATCCCCCAACAATATTAATTAGCATTAATAGTAGTCCTAGTGTTTGAATCCTGCACCATTCCTTTTGATATTTTGATATCAGTGACAGATTGCAGAAGAACAGTCAAGAATAGCCAGAGTAATTTAGGTTGGAAGTATCCCTGAAGGTCTCTGGTTCAAGCCCTCACTCAAAGCATGACCAGCTTAAAGCAGCCACTACATCTAAGCTAATATTTTATATTGGCTGATTCCCTTCAATCTTATAAATGTGCACTTTAGTTGTAGTACTGATTTGTTTAGGTTCTGTTTCCAAGCACTGGGGTTAGTTCTGGCTATGCCAGGAAGCTAAAGGGCCTTCTGCTAGAAGACTTCTTATGGATACTTTCTCTCAACATATTTGTTTGTAGAAGATGTTGCTTTACGTCTCCTTCTTCTCCTTATTAAGCTAATTAGATTAAGCCTCTTTCATCTTTTGCAGTAAATCATGTCAGCTGGGGAGGTATTGGGGAGTTTGAGGGCTGCCGCTGGTAGAGCTCTGAGTACCTCCACAGATGGAGTCCCACAGCCTCTCTGGGACCCTGGGCCAGTGTTTGACCACTCTCATGGTGTGTGGGGTGGGAAAGAAGTCCTAATATCTGCTTGGAATTTTTCTTCTTACAGCTTGAATCTTCTCCTCTCACTGTGTGCCTCAGAGGAGAGCCTGACTCTGTCTTCTCTACAGCCTCCTGTTCAGTAGCTGCAGGCAGCAAAAGGTCTTTGCCTTCCCTTCTTCAGGCTGAGTAAACCCAATTCCTTCAGTGTCTCCTTGTATGTCCATGCTATCTTAGTGGCCTCTGCTGGACTCAGCCCAATACATCTGTATCTTTCTTGTACTGGGCAGTCCCAAACTAGACACTGCACCCCAGATGTGGCCTCACAAGAGCCAAACAGAGAGGAAGGATCACCTTCCTCAAACTGCTGGCCGCACACGTGCTGACACAGCCCAGTCTATGGTTGGCTGCCTTAGCCAGAAGGACACACTGCTGACCTCTGTTCAACTTTTCATCCTCCAGGACACCCCAGATCCCTTTCTGTGAAGCTGCTTTCTAGCCATCATCCCTAGCCTGTCCTGGTGCCACAGGAGCACGACTCAGACTTCTTTTTGCCGAGGCTGCTGTCCACTCCTTTCTCCAGCCTGTCAAGGTCCCTCTGAATAGCAGCCCTGCTCTCCAGCATACTGGCCATGCTTTCCCATGCCTTCCAGTCCAGTATTATCCACAAACTCGCTGAGAGTGCACTCCATCCCATCATCTCTGTCGTTAATAAAGACATTAAACATCATCAGCCCCTGAGGGACACCACTAGTAATTCTTTCATGCAACTAATTGCTGAGTTCAATTTTCTGTTTCATTCAAAGATTTGAGTGTTTCCTCCTAAATCAGGTTCTCCTCTGGGTCTCTGAGCAGCCTCTGACATCCACAGGAGATCAGTGACTCCTCAGTCCCAACATGCCTCTCCTGCTCTTTATGACCCATGAGCTGTGACAATGTAGCCAGAGGGTCTAAATCCTGACTCATGGCCCACACTGCGCTCTTCACCCAGCATTATCCTGTGTAGACACAAAGGCATGTTATTAGCCATGGTCCAGACTCTGTAGGAACCAGCTTTAGGAGCATGGTTTGGTGAAGCAAGGAGATGGGTAGTTCACCAGCAATACTGGGTCCCTTTCCAGGGATCTGTGCCCGTAACATCCTTCCTTCCTGGTGGAGACTGCATTGGACCACCTCAGGTCACCTCCTGGGGTGACTGTTTCTTCTGTCTGCAGAAGCTCTTTGTCTTCAGGGCAAGGTCACCTCTCTGCACCCAGTTGCTCACTGAGCTTGAGCCTCTGCTGGCCTCCACAGTGGGGCTTCCTCAGGGTGCCAAGTGTGTGTGTATGTGAGTCCTACTCCATCCAGGTGGCAACTGATGCTGCAGGAATATTTGGGATGTAGAAAAGGGAGGAAAGGGAAGAGCAGTCCCTCTGCCTCACCCCTCTGCCCACCCACCTTTGGAGGTAGCTGTCCATTTCCTACCCCTTCCCATGAAGATGAAGGGGGCTGTGGGACTGGTCTCACTGGCAGAGCTTGCTGAGCCACCATGGTCTCTCTGTGGTGAGAAGCCTGTTGCCTGGGAGCCAGAGCTGCCCCCCTCCCGGCTGGCACTACGCTTGTGGGCCACACACAGCCCTCTCTCCTGAGCTCTGCAGAAACAACCTGCAGGAGCTGTGGCCTGAAAACCGGCGCTGCACACCAGCCTTGCTGCGTGTCTGCCTGTGTTACGCTCTGCCAGCTGTGTCCTGGGGAGGAGGCTGCTCTCACTTCCCAACTGGTGGCCGATGCTGGGTTAACCATTAACTCCCTGCTCCGAGGCCTGCTGGGGACAGGGCTTTCTTTTCAGGGTACTGCGAAGCTGCTTGCTTTGGCCTTTCCTGTGACGCTCTGGTGACGTTTCTTGATGGGATCCTGCTGGGGTCTGAACAGCCTTTCCTGTCTGCAGACAGCCACGCAGCAGGGCCGTGGTCCTTACAGTCTGTAGGCAGCGCGAGGCAGGGTGGCCCAGGAGCGGGATGTGATCATGGTGGTGAGGGAGGGTACAGGTGCACCACTGTGCACTGAGATTCCTCTTCGGGTGCTCTTTGTGGTGCTCCTTTCGGCTGCCTGAGGTGCAGGAGACCAAGCAAATAGGCTGGTGATCCTCCCCCCAGAGTGAGGGAGGTCCCTCAGGAGAGGGGTTGCAGGGTGCCTGGTGTGCACCGTGAGTGCTCAGTGTGCGTGGCAGGTGCCTATTGGCAGCCCGGGCCCCCCTGCCCGGCGGGAAATGAATCACCTTCAGTCAAAGGCTTTGCACTGGGGCGCCGCAGTCTCCCTTACCGGTGCTATCTCCTCCCCACATCTTGCTCTTCGCTTCTTGGCGCTGTGACGTAGGAAACTCCCGTTTCCTCTGCAGGGAGTTCCACAAAAATGCTGGAGGCCAAGTCCTGCTTCAAGGCAGACAGCCTGAGCACGGGCGCAGGTCAAAGAGCTGCAGTCACTCCCCTCCCCTGAAGTTTGCAGTAGCCCTCTCACATGTTGGGGATGTGCCCAGGACAGGATGATGCTAATGCTGAGTGCCAAAGAGGGACTTAAGATCTTCCCAGCAGCCATTCTGGCCCACTCAGGTCCCCCATCCCTGCTACTCCCTGCCAAGCACAGAGGGGCTGTTTAAAAAAAAAGCCCTGCCACCTCTGAGCCGAGCTGGGAAGAGATCTACATTCAGTGCATCAGAGGGTGCCCATGTGTTATAATCACTGCTCATCGTCAGCGGCAGCGAAGAGGAGAGGTAAAAGCATTTGCAACTCCTCATCTCCTGGGTGGGTGAGTGGGTGGCAGCTGAGGGCAACAACAGCTCTTGAAACAGGAGGGAGAAACTTGAAACTCCACCAGCAGAGTGTCCTTGGATATGACTACAAACCAGGTGAAGATTTCTGCCGAGCATCCTGGGCTGCAGGAGAAATACTGGTAGTGATGGGCAGTGCCAAGTGCAGCAGATTTCACCCCTTCCATCTGCGAGCCAGGTGTGTGGGGGCTTACCCCATCTTCAGTGGCCACCAAATGGCTGGGGGTTGCATTTTCTAGTTTCCAGATCTTGTTTATGGTTCCTGAATCTTCATCTCTAAGGCATCTTCAGGACACTGGTGCAGTGCTGAAAAGAGAGGTGTCTGCTGCATGGACGTGTCTGTGCACAGTGACTCGAGTCCTACACATGCATGAACCTCCGCAGCCCAAGAGCTTGCAAGTAGGCAGCTTGTACTGACTGTTGAGCACTGGGATGAAGGTCTGCCGGTTGTGCACACACCACCTGTGCAGACCAGCAGAGGAGGGCACTTCCTTCCCTCAGCTATTTGGAACAGGCTATTTTTGGAAACCCTCTGTAACCAAAGTAAATGAACTGTGGCTCTTCTTCACAGTTTCATTTCTCCTAATATAGCACTCAAAAATGTGTTTAATTAAAAAGTTATTTATATAAACATTTATAGTCTAACTTATACATTGAGAATACTTATATTCTGAGCTCTTATATTGATTTTAAACATTTTTTCTTTCAGGGTGAGACTGCCTCTTTTCAAAGAAACAGTAACATACCAGGAATACACAAGGTGTTAAAGACCACACCATTCACCAAGACTAAGCAAAGCTTTCACCTAAAAGGAATAAAAAATAAACATGGCAGAATTTACAGGTTACAAGGAAACGTCAAATCGGCACTTACGATTCAAATTGCAGAGTCTTAGTCGCCGCCTTGATGAACTGGAGGAAGCAACTAAAAATCTGCAGAAAGCAGAGGATGAGCTGCTTGACCTCCAGGACAAAGTTATCCAGACAGAAGGCAGCAATTCCAGCATGCTGGCTGATGTTGAAGCCCTGCGGAAAAGAGTGCTGAAGATTGAAGGCAAGGATGAAGAAATTAGGAAGGCTGAAGAGCTTTGCCGGTTAATGAAAGAAAAACTTGAAGAGGAAGAGAGCCTCACCCGAGAGCTGAAGTCAGAAATTGAACACCTTCAGAGGAGAATGGCAGAGCTGGAGAAGCTGGAGGAGGCCTTTGGCAGGAGCAAGAACGACTGTACACAGCTGTGTCTTAGCCTCAATGAAGAAAAGAACTTGACCAAAAAGATATCTACAGAATTAGAAATACTTAGAGTGAAAGTGAAAGAACTGGAAGCATCTGAGGACAGGCTGGATAAAACTGAGCAGAGCTTAACGGGCGAGTTAGAAAAACTGAAATCCTTAGCACTGAGCTTTATCACTGAAAGAAAACATTTCAATGAAAGAGAAAAGCAGAATGAAAAAATAATCCAGGAGCTAACTCAGAAACTAGAACAAAACAATAAACTAAATAGGGCAGATCAAACTAGAAATGCATCCAACTTGCTAGAAAGGTCATCAAATAATCTCCTGGACAGAAATGATTTGAGAATTGAAGATGACTTGACTTCTGCATTGCCCTCTAAGGAGTCCAGGAGGAAGGGAAGTGTGGATTACCTGAAACATGTAGAAAATGAAACCAGGAATAAATCAGAAAACCAAAAGAATAAAAATCAGGAAGACAACAAAGTGAAAGATCTCACCCAAGAAATTGAGAAACTTAAAACTCAGATCAAACGTTTTGAATCTTTAGAAGAAGAACTTAAAAAAATGAGAGCCAAAAACAATGACCTGCAAGACAGTTATTTGAGTGAACAGAATAAAAACAAACTCTTAACGGGTCAGCTAGAAGAAATAAAAATGCAAATAAAGAAACAGAAAGATATGGAGAATGGAGAGGTCGAAAATGAAGATACAAGCTTTTCTAGCAGGGGAAAACATGACAGACCTAAATACAGAGGTGTCATGGCTGATTTGACAGCTGCCAAGCACAAGTCAAGGGAGCTCTCACCGCAGCAGCGCCGGGAAAGAGTAAGGAACAGAGATTTCTCTGTCAGTAATGACAGCTACAGCCATGGTGGTAAGCAGGTGCCCAGTCCAAGCTTAATGAACAGAAAAGCAGGAAAAGCATCTGGTGCATCTGCCCTTTCAGACACTGCTGTGACAGATACAAAGAGACTGGAAGAGAAATCTTTAGTTTCCACTTTTTCTTCTGGTCAGAAGGAAGGCTGCATCACGCAGAATGAAGGGAAGAGATCAAAAGAGCAGCCGTCTGTCCTCAGCCGATATCCTCCTGCTGCACAGGAGCAGAAATCTTGGAAAGCACCTTCCAAACCTGTTGGTGACACAGGCCCAAGATCCAAGGCTGAAAAGCCATCTCAGGTGCTCCGTGGCAACTGCCAAACTGGTGCTGATGCACGGGATGAAAAGTCAAGCAAGGGAGAATCAGTGGCTTCTTTGGCCGAGAAGCTGAAAACAAGTCAGGCAGAAGTCAGTGACTGCTCGGGAGACACGCTGCTTGGCAGGGGTAATCACACGTCTTCCAACGGCACAGCTTCAGCATACAGGTGCCACCTCTCATCCCATGTGTCGGCATTGGACTCCACTGGCTCTAAAGCAGAAGCAGTGAACACTTTTGCTGCATCACACAGACAGCCCTCAGAGGGGAGGGCTAAAAGAGCAATAATCTCCCAGGAAAAAGAATTCACAGACACATCACTTGAAAGTGCAAAGCCTTCAACACTAACAAAGCGTTCCCATCGCTCCAGGAGTCAAGAAGACATCCTGCAGGTTCTCACAGGTCTTGATAAAGAAGACACAGAGCAGTCTTCAACTTCAGCAATGGATCATGTAAATGCTGGCTTAAAAATGGACTCCAAAACCATCCGGAGTAACCAGGAAAAACTTAATTCAGATGAAGAATCGGGAAGAAGCAAAAAACCAATCACTCAGTCAGATTTTGAGACAAGGAAGAAAGTCAGTTCCAAGCAGTTCTCCAGCTCCAGGGGAGTTTTTAGAGCATCACTTTTTGAAAATGACAAAAACACTGTAAATGATGAAGACTCCACCAAGTGTATAAAACCATCAGATGCCAGCACTGGAGGATTTAAATCCAGAAGGTCGTTCAGCCCAAGAGAAGCTCTGAGATCAAAAGCTGTCATTAAACCTGCAATTGTTGAAAAGGATATGAAGGCAGTCATGGGAGGGACTGTTTCTGAGGCAGAGTCAGAAAAACAGAAGTCTGTTTTTAAAATGGTAACAAATAAAATGACAAGCAGCATCACAATCTTCCCTTCTGAGCCAACAACTTCAAGGACCAGTGGAGATACAGCAGCAAAGGAAAGGCATGTTACCACCAGCAACATCATAGTTGCTCCAAATGAGCCTTCACCAATAACAAACAATCTCCCCACACCCTTCGAGATATCGATTAATAAAAGTGCTCTGAAATTATCTGAGACAGACAGAATTGGGGAGGCAGCACCGAGAAGTAAAGCAGAAACAGTGGTCTCCAGAAGCAGCTTTATGATAAAGACTTCTGAACTCACGGAGAGGAACAACTGTGAGCCACCTTCAGAGACAATCTGCTGGAAGAGCCATGGCTCTTCAGATGCAGCTTCATCTGAAACAAAACATGTCACTGTGAGAAGTTCCTGGAGAACAAGACAAGGCTTACATTCCCTGGAGGACTCTCAAACCAAAGTGGAGAAAAGCGCAGCTTCCATTACTACAAACATGTGTAGGTCCTCAGTGGACCTCTCAGAAATGGAAGGGAACAGTACAAGAACAAACTCCCTGGAGCAGACCTCAGCAAGGACCAGTGCCACAGCTAATTCCTGGAGTGCTCCTGAACTGGGGTCCCGAAGGACCAAAAGTAACTTAAGTGCGTCTGAACTGTTGACACGCAGGAGCTATGCAAGTGATCCTACAGCAGCTTCTGCTTGGCACCGGACCACACTACCTGTAAGTATCCTATGTCAAACACTCTTCTCTTTCAGTTGATGAGCTTTTCCAAGTTGCCTGTTAGTTGTAGGGTGCCTGATTTTAAATTCTTACAGCTTATTTCCTGAAGTGCTGCCCTCTCCCAGCTCCTGCTATACTTCTTATATATGAAGTACCCTATTTAGACTTCTTGAAATTGGATCTATCTGCTTGGGTCTTGTAATACCATATGAATAACTATGAAGTAGCATTTCGTCTTGCCAAGATCAGAGAAGACATAGTCACAGCTTATGTAGGACATGGTGTGCTTTTCAGAGTGGCTTTGCATGGCACTGTCAACTTGGAGCAGTAATGAAAAAATGATCGAAATGAGCAGATTTTAATAGGGCAGAGCTGTAGCTCTAATGGCAGCTGTAGAGATATAGCACCTTTTGGTAAGAACTGCACGGTTTCCCCATGTGTAACTAGACCCTGGTCTGGAAATGCTTCCCAGGCATCTCCTAAACAGATGAGTGGTGGCTGGCTACACAGGGCTGCTCCCTTCTTGGTCTGTGTCAATATGCCACCTGAAAAGAAGCAAGAGCCACAGGGATGGCTGTGTTCTTTTCCTATTCCTTTGGCTAGTACCAGTGAGGGGAGTCCCTCAAAGCTGGGCTGACATACGCAGACAGTTGGTCTGGTGAGCTATACTTGCCACAGGAGCTGCAGGTTCCAGCATATTTCAAGCAAGCTCACTCGCACCAAGTGCCCCTCCAGTCCATTAAACCACATACCAGTTCCTGCTGCAGCTCCTGCCTCTGCTCTTTACTTAGAGCTGCTCTAAGCAGCTGCTGCCATTGCCAGTCTCCGGGAGGAGACCAGCTGAGTAATCTGACAGGGCTGGTGGCAGAGGGGACAGATTCATAACCAAATGACTCTGGCATTGACAAAAATGAGGTGGTGAAGATGTGAAAGGAGTTTTACATTTGCAAAACTTCTCTTCCCTTCTCTGGTAATGAGAAGCACAGAAGAATTTACATCATTGCTTTGCTTTGCAGAGAGTCTGTTGCCTGGTGTTACGAAGTGCAGGTTGGCCTTCCAGCTACATTTAGACACTGGAAATACATCTTCTCCCTGGCCAGGGTTACTCGTGGGTCACAGTCAAGTCTGTACTTCTCATTCATGAGTCCAGGCAGAACTGACATGACTGAGGTTGTCCTTTTGCATAATGGCAGCTTATATGCTTGGGAAACAGGAAATCAATCCCTGGGCTTCCCTTTATCCCAGGAGTTTGAATTCACAGCACCCACGACCTTGAGTCTCACAGCTGAAGAGGTCTCCATTTGCAGCTGGGCTCATGTGTGACCAGTCATGGAGCCCTAAAGAGCGAGCACTCACATATTTCTTTCCCATCTTCCCTCTAGCAGTCCACCACCTAGGGCTGAGTGTAGCTCTGCAGTATGTTCTGCGGATGGCCTCAAGGTCACTGTCAGATCAAATTTGCTAGCTATGCAGTGTGCCTACAACAGCAGCTGAAATGTACCTGACAGAGCAATGTGACCTCTGCATGGTCATCCTGGGTATTCCTGATGAATTAGCTGTCTTCCAGCCTTGCCTGCATCTGCAGTGACAAACAGTCAGGAAAGCAACCGTGTGGTTAGTTCATACAGGGCTGTTGAGTATTGAGTTAGGTATCTCTGTGCATCATACTTTGAAATAAAATCACACACACCACATAGTCACAAATCTGAATTCTTGGTCATAAATTAAGTATATTTTTATCTTGTAAATGAGGAGCATGAAGTTACCCCAAAAGACTGCAGATACACAGATATACCAGATGTTATACCAAATTTTATGTATTTGGGCAGGTCAAATTATTGCATATGCCCTTGGAAAAAAACCAAAGTATCTGCCTTTGAAGGGTATCTTCAGGCTTATAATATGCCTCATATCACAAGCAGTCTATTTCTGCTGGGATTTGTGTTTCAGATAAAGTTGTAGCTATTTCTCTGGCAGAAGGCTTGGCACTGATCTGTGCTAACTTTGCATGTTCAGCTCTCCTGTGAAGGCATCACTGTCACCTCTTCCCAGCTCCGCTATCCAAAGTCTGAGATTGCCTTAAGAATCCTGTTTGGGAAACACAGGGTCTGTGCTAGTTTTGCCAAAATACATCTTCCTCTCCTCCATGAAATACTCATGATGTCTGACCATTTGCTGCAGCACAGCAGGAAGCTATAGCAAGCTGGAGGCTCGGCCCCTGCCTCAGCCTGGCCCTCAGGATAGACCCAAACTGAGCACCTGGAAATAATTCTTGCAAGATGCCAAGGCACAAGGTCTAATTTCAGCCTTCCGGTTTTGCACGGCCGATGTAGGCAAATGTCCCTAATGAAGCTACTTGAGGTATCGGCAGCTCTTAACCATACTTGTGCTACAGAAGCAGCAGCTCCTCGGAGCGCTGCTTTGGGAGACCCAGAAAGCAATAGGTGCTGCTGGATGGATGCTACAGCTTGAGGACCAGCTCCCTCTAGTGCTTGCAGCCAGCCTTTCTCGGGCTCCCATAAGGAGCCCTGAGGAGATGCAAGACCTCAAGCAGTCATTCTGTTGGGCTTGTGTTTCAGATAACGAAGTTGGTATTTCTCTGGTGTGATGTTTGCTGAAAATTTGCAATGCCCAAATTAGTCCAAAGCCACTGGCAGGCAGCGAGCAGACAAGCAGGCAGCAATGCAAAATGAATGCACTTAATTAATTTTTCTTGTGGCTGTGACATTAATATGACTGGAGCTGGGCTGTGTGCTGCATGAATTAGGTAAAAACCTAAAGGTAGGCTTTTCTTCAAGTGAAGCTATGCATATCTTCTTATAGTGGGTGGGTCTCATCAAAAAGTCTCCCTGACAGTATCTAGGGATGTCCTGCCTCTCGCCCCTTCTCTGCTTTAGGGACTAATATAAAGTGCATCCATCACCATTTCACCCTTGCTGACTCCACATAAGCTTCTACTTAAGTAGTTATGCTACATTAGTGTTCTCATCTTTCCTTGGACCTTAGTTAACTTTGTCTAAGGGTTCTGTTCTGTTTTGTGCGAATCCTGGGGATCACAGCCTGTTCAGAGCAGCTTCCCAGATGCTTGTCAGTGACTAGCTAATTGTCCTTTGGGGTGCCATGGAGCATGCTGCGCTTCACATGGACCTGGCTCTGGTGCCATACCAGGAGGCACTGGTCTGCATCGCCAACACATCAGGGGTAGCCATCCTGATAGCCCTGGCTCAGCTCTTTACCTACAAAACTCTCTGAGACCAGTGCATTTGGGTTGCTACTCATAAATTCATGCTGCCTGACAGCAGAATGCTCGCTGTCAGGTGCCCAAGGGGATGGAGGTCCTATATGCTCACCCAGGGGCCTTGTCGCTAAAGACAACCACTGTATCAGAAATACAGAGGTGCCTAGCCCTTGCTAAGCTGTCCAGGTCCACCAAGATTACTGCCATTCACTAAATTAAAATTATCACCTCAGTTTTATGAGCAGCCTGGCCCACCATGTTTATCTCTGGCCCATGGTTGGTTGGAGGTCCCTGTGGGACCTGTCCCTGTGTTGTGGCTATTCACCAAGGTGCTGCTGCTGCTCACATCTCACAAGGGGGAGGTCAGGTCCAGTGTTTGCTGGATGTCATCCACAGTGGGGCCAGCTCAGGGCAGATGTTTGCTTATCCAGACCCACCAGATGTCACAGCTTCTTTCTGGGAGGCCATCAAAGCCTGGTGTCCATCTCACAGATGCATTTCTGCCAGGCACAGGGGCTGCTGCCTCTCCCTTCCTGCTATCCCTTTTGCCACAGGGCAGGGACCAAATCTGTTCCACCAGTGCCCACAGCCCTTTCATAGGGCTGTGCACTGCGTTTTTCAGCAAACACAATGTCATCCCCAAAGTGAGCAGAGCTGATAAAGCCTTCAGGAGTACAATGCAGCTGTTGCGCTTTGCCCAGTAGCTCATTACATTATTGCAAGCTCACCATTGTCATGATTTGTTTTGTTTCTGATGTTGACATGATGGTACCTTACAGTGTGCTGGAACTTGTGGATAAGGAGGTTTTTCCAGCCAACGACAGCAACAGCAAAAGCACTGCTGGGGAGCTGGAGGGTGACAGGGACTCCTCACCCTCATGACTCACAGCAGGGTACTGCCTCAGTAAAAGACACAGGTGCCCCAACCAGCCCTAAGGCAGACCGTAGGCATCTGAATCAAAGGGTATGATCCTATAAATGTCTCTGCCAACATTCCAAGAAAACATTAGTGAGTTTAAAAGTGCCATTTAGATGCCTATACCAGGAAAACAGTGTAGGACACTCCCATACCACATCCTCATTGCCAAGAAAATGGGACATTCAGGTTGTTGGCCACCCCCCACCCATGGTAGAACTCAGAGTTAATACTTCTAAGAAACTGCTTCAGTCACTAAACCATGGGATTTTCTGCTGATAGTCCGTCATGGATACAAGCACTCTGGACCCAGCGAGCCATGCAGGTTGAGCACAGATTTGTGCACAGGTCAGTCAGCTGAACAGAAGACTCTGCATCCATAACTTGGATTAAAATTACTGGCTGGTTTAAAAAAAAAAATCTTTATGAAATAGCACATAAGTGAGGACATGTCAGAGCTGGCCTTGTGGCCCAAGTCCCTCCTTGCCAAAGCGACTCAAGCCAGCACCTCGCACTGCAAACCCAGGACCAGGAACCTAGTGCTATTCCAGACCCTTTCATAGTCCTCGAGTCCCAGCCTTCTTTATTTTCCTTTGCACAGGATGAAAGCAAAGATTTTGCGCCCAGTTCCAGAAGAAAACAATATGGCTCTTCTGAGTACCTCTCACAGGTTGACACACCAGGGAAAAGGCCAGCCACCAAGATGGAGCTGCAGGACCCCGAATCCAACCCCCATGCACCACTGGGTCTCCAAGTGGAGGAGCAGGTATGTGAGTTCAAGGGCCATCCAGAAAAGAGAGTTACAAGGCAAGAAGCCAATATCTGAACTGACCTCCCAGCAACATAACTTGGAGAACTTGCCCAAAATGAATGTAAATCTTTTATGAGAAATCCAGTCTTACATTAGCACTGCCCAGAGGTATAGTGTCTACTGTATTGCCTTGGTAAATCATTCTACTCCTTTCCTATACCGGTAAAAAAGTACTACCTTATTTTTCTGTTCTAAAAACCAGTTCTTGTTTCAACTAGCTTTATGGCTAAAAACATTCTCCAGGGAATAAGAGGCACTGCCTCTAGTCATCCTGTGGCACATACTGGACAATCAGGGTTGGAAACAAAAACATTTGGAGAGACAGAATCAGAGCTCTTAACTTACCTGCTTCAGCTGGCTGCTGTAGTACTAGGGTGCTTGTCTGCTGCTACATACCTGCTGCTCTTAAACACATCTTTCTGGACACAGAAAGAAGTGGAAAAAGGCCTATATTATAGTGACTATGAAAAACTTGTATTCTAGCCTTTTCACAGGGGGGTCCCTTCAGAAGAGATAGGGGTCCAGGCAGACTTTAATTCTTAGGAGCACAGCCATGCTTATATCTGTATAAAAGACTTTCTTCCTCTCTTGGCATTCCCTCTTTGCCTGCGCAGCTGCCCAGAGCAAAGTGCATCTTTCCATTTATAGATCACCCACAGCAGGAAATATCTTAAGACCTCAAACCTGTTATCAGTGTATCTTACTGGATGTGCACAGGAGTTGCTGAGTCTTGATGTGAGAGCAGCAGGACTGCCGTGAGGCAGCTGAGAGCCATACATAGTCATGCCTCTTGGTGAAGTTGCACAAAATTAAGAGCCCAGAGGAACGTGGTCCAGGATGAGCTTTGCAGACTGGCATTTAGATAGGTAATGTTTGCAGTAGAGAGTAGTGAACTCACACTGTCCTTGGTAGCTGAAGAAAGGGACATCACAGTGATGCTCTGTGTGGTCACCAAGAGGTGTTACCCACAGTGACATTCATCTGGCCATATGCAGACTCCTGTACCTGAGGCTGTGCTGTGCTTCCTTTGTCTGCACAGACTGGGTCAACAGCAAATAAAAACTTGGGTAAAGTCAGGTCCCTGTACCATACACACCATCATTTGGATCTTCTGTCTTGCCCAGACCTCCACTGACTGTAACAGGAGCCTGAACACCTTGCATATGGAGATGTGCTCTGACATTAGATCAGCTCCATCTCCTCTGTGTTGTCAGGTGGTGTGCATCTCACTTGCAAGATCCACGTGCTGGGTGTGGAAGTGGGTGCAAGGTATGCTACAGTATAAAAAAAGATAATAGACCCTGCCTCTGTGGGGCAGGGCCGGGTCATTCTGTTTTGGGCTTACTCCACTGTAAACTCTGATGGAGCCTGTATCTTCCAAACTGATCCTGCCGCTGCTCTCCTCTGCCCCACCATCGGGATAGGATCCTGATGGGCTTTAGGATGGCCTAAGGGCAATCACAATACTCTTCCCCAGAGCAAAAATGCTGCCAGAGGCAGCTGCCAGTTCTGGTCAGTCTGTGATGCTGTGGGGTTCTCTCTTACAGGGTGCTTTCCATGCCTGCCGGACAACATCTCGGAGATGAGTTGTATTCCTTTCCACTCAATGGACACGCTGCACAGTGGAGCAAGAGGCAGGACAGTACCAAGCTCACAGGCGTCACACCTGTTTGTAACCTCTTGGGAGGCTTCAGCTAGCCTGAAACCAGTTTTCTAATGCGATTTGCAAGGTACAGGAGCTTTACCAGTGAATTCTTTTTCTTCATTGCCGAAGAGGCAGCTGCAGAGACTTTGCTCAGGGGACTCCCACTTCTCATCTCTGTACCTGCAATCTTAATCTTCTCCATAGGATGATAGGTCTGTCTCCGTATGGAAACCTTGACTTGCATAGCCACTCTGAATGATGGTACTCCCTGGACAAGAGAGAACTTCTTGTTAATCACTTGCATTTAGACAAGATCCCAGAAGTATCCTTGTGACTACAGTCCACCAGCCCATGACAGCAGTCCTACACGGCTCCACAACTGAAAGCTTACAGTTCCTAGGGAGAGTTTGCTTTCTCCCAATACACCCTTATTGGCTTGGGTTGTGGTTTCCTCAGTACCTGTGTTGCCAGTACCCTCTGTCTCTAGGCAGGAGGAAACCATTCCCCACTGGTTGCTTACACATAAGAGGGAAAGAGAGCAGAAAATGTTGTTTAGAAGCAGTTTCTTCCCTATTGCTGTCAGTCTCCACAACAAGCTTTGCATGACCTACTGATCACCAGCTGAGATCTTGCACCAAGAACTCATCCACTGAGCCAAACCAACAGCAGTTCACACGGCAGTGAAACTTCCTCTTGACTTGGACTGGGGTGCTTTTTTACCTGAAACTTGATGCCCATCATGCTCTGCAGGCACCAACTCTGCTGCTCATTCTCAGCAGTTGAGCTCTAAAGGAAAAAGAAACAAGTGCTTTTCCTCACAGACAAGCAGAATGTCCTTGATTCCTTCCAAAAACAGGGTGGAGACAGCAGGATTGGACCCTAAGCTGAGCGCCAGTATGGCTATCTAGGCAGCCTCGGTCTGTGCCCCTCTTCAGGACCACCCCATCTACCGTGGCTGGGACCCAGGTATGATCAGAGACTGCTTCAAATACAGAGGTATGTCACCCTGTCAGTGCCCACAGGCCACCGAGTGCAGATGGCATCACTGTCAGGGGAGATACTGCCCGCTGCAGCTCCAAGAGGTGCTCAGATGTTGGAGCAGCATCTGCCTGAAGCAAGGTGATTGCATCTGGCTCACACAGTCAGAGCCCTGCCACTCCTTTACATCCCACCACGCAGCTGCAGAGCTGGCCCACAGTTTTCCTGTCCTGTACACAAACACCACTGACTTCCCCCAGTGCTTTCTTCTGCCTGTTGAAAACAGACGCCCCTCTCTGTGGAGGGACAAGGACAGTGCTGCAGAAGGGAAGAGGTTTGTTTTGGAGGTGCTGTGGGAACAGCTATGACCCAGCAGCTCCCATATCTTGAGTTACACTCCACACTCATTCCCACATCCACCTTCCAGACAAGCAGCTACCACAGTAGTGCGCATGTGACTATCCGTACATGCACATTATACGCTGTATCTCCTCCCTCTCCCTTGGAATTATATGCCTCAATTCTGAGAGGCAAATGAATCAAGAAAACAGAGCCAGTTGGAAAATATCTATGGAAACATTTATATAAAAAAGGAAAGTGTTTCAATGACTTTTTTTTTTTTTTAATAAAGATTGCCTGGAGGAAGGGAAATTTAAAAAAAAAAAAAGGGTTTCCTTTTGCAATTTTTAGATGGTTTCCCAAATTTGTATTTTTAACCCTTCATTTTATTCTTTTATTTTTCATGACGTGTATAAGTGTCAAGTTGCATAACAAGACAAAAAGCTAATGATTTTAAATTAGTATGATGTGGCAGCTCTAATAATCTTAAATTATATTAATATAAATTATATCAGCTGCTATCACCAGTTCATGACATGGCAATATTAGTACAGAATGGGATAAATATATCAAGTATAATAGGAAAAAAATTTTAAACTCAAAATCCAAACTAAAAGTGAAAGAAGCTTAAACTCTGAAGTTAAATTCAGATTTCTGAAGTGCCTCCCCCTGCCCCATGTTTATCAGGAAGTATTGAAAATTAATGCATATTTTGCAATTTGAAACCACAATGGATTTATTTTTTTTTTAAAAAGCCTGTGAAATTGCAATATCCACCCTGAGCACCCTGCTTTGCTCAGAGGTTAACTGTATGGCACGATCACAACTATCACCACCACACAAAAAAAAGATTACTGAGATCGATTGCTTGAATGGCATCATCTTCCCTTACCTCATTGTTCAATCTTCCAGGCTTTCCACAGCTAATAAACAGAATTGCAGCCTGACCAGAAGTGCCACATCTCAGCAGTGCTCTCATGGGGCTGGCTTGCTTGCTAGCCTCTGCCAGCCTCAGGATGCTACGTTCTGACTCTTTGCCCTTATTTTCATGTTAAAGAAAATGTTTCCCTTCAAAACTAAGTATGCTGCCTCAGGTCCTCTTCCATGTGTTGCATAGGAGACGCTGCTGCAAAAAAAACCCTCTGAGGCAGTGTAGCCGTTCTGCAGCAAATGGCCCAAAATGCCTTCTGCAGTACCTGCTTGTTTAACCTGGGAGTTTGCATCTTGGAGGCATCTTAGCATGTACCTGCCTCTTCAGATATCACAGTAATTATTTACCTCTGTTTATATTCCCAAACCTGCTGCTAAGCAGCTTTCCAGCCATATAATATAAACCCAGTTACAATCACTGTGGAAGAACTGCTGCTGACGACTTGCTTGGCATTGCAGTTCAGTCTCTCAGAGAAGCAGCGTATTTAGGAGGGCCTCCCCCCTGCCCTGTGTCACTGCTGGACTTACAGCTTAGTTTTTACAAAGAGCCGGACAGCACATACACCCTGAAGATGAGGATCGCTTTGAGTGTATAGCTTTCCTCCCAGTGATGAGCCCCGTTCTGCTGCAGGACAGCGGTCCACATCCCGCAGGTCACTTGTGTACCCAAACACATCCACCAGCCCTCTCCATCTCATGTTCTTGGCATGGATCCAGCTTAGCATGGTGCTTCCAAAACTCCTTCCAAGGGAACTGGCTTCAGTCCTGGCCAGGAAAGCTCTGCATCCCTACAACACGACATGTTAGGTTAACACAGGCTTCCTTGTACTTACCCACAAAACTCTGGCTTACCCATCAGCTTTTCAACCCCACAGCTCACCCCAGTAATGCAACTCCATGTCTGAAGTGCAAGGGAAAAACCACCAGCAGCAATAGCTGTTGGTTTTCCCCTTCTGTCAGCCAGGACCAGGCTTTTCCTTAGCCATGGGCAACCAGGCAGCTTTACCCTGCTGCTCGGCCAGCTCACAGCATGCAGCAGGAGCCCCAGCTACTGACCCAGCAATACAGCTCTTCTGGCACTGTCTGCTCTCCTCAGATGTTTCTCACAGGTGACGTCTCTTTTTTCAGCTGCCTCAGTGGTTTGTTCAATATTTTACAGCACATACCTTGAACTCTTGCTCTAGACTCAGTCTCACTGCTTGTAAATAATGAACACAGGTGTCACTCAGTAACTGTACACTGGGTTGTTCTTACCACAACCAAGATTAAATCTGAGAAAGAAAACCCTCCTTAAAATTGAAAGGGGCCACGCCCTCTAATCATGAGTGCAATAGGAGCTGATTGTATTATTAAACTTATAGCAATGACTTCAGGAAACACGATGTGTTTTACTCAAATTGCACACTTTTTTTGAACAGCTGTAAAATAGAGTCTATGTGTAAATATTGCCATCACTGAAGAAGTATTTGTAATTTTAGCATATAAATATAACAGGCTTTCCAGTGGGCTTGATGATGCCGTGAGGCTGTGCATCAAGCACTCGGGTAATTCCAAAGTTGTAAATGTATTTGCTGTATAGAGGAAGTGTGTCAGTGCTCACTTCTCCCAAGGAAACGGAGATGCTGGTTCCTTTTGGACAGCCAGTGGCTTTCCCCAGAATGGCTGGCATCAGCCTGAGGGGTCAGCAGCTTGCTGCTTCATGGAGTGGCTTCCTTTGTGTCCAGAAACACCACTGCAGCACGCAGAGCAGTGCCTCTCCAGCTGCTTGGGTGGCATGGAGGGGTGACAGCTTTGCAGTGCAACCACCAGTGCTGTGCATTGTCAAACTGCAGCTCAGGGGACACAGACGAGGAGAGACCCACAGTCCTCCTGCAGATGGTACCTCCAGAAAAGGAAAAGGGCAGGAAGCACAGGGCAGGGTGGCGCACCTTGGTGCTTCAAGAGACACTTGACGAGCATTTCCTAGCTACAGATTGAAGCAATAGGCACGTTGGTGTCATCTGTAATATAGGAGACCTCATCTCTGCCACCCTCGCACATCATTGGAGTGGTCAAAGCACTGCTCCAATGTCAGCCTCCAGTGGACTGCTCTGTATGTGATGAAACGTGAAGCCATTGTTTGCAGATGCCTCTGATGGTCAGTAACCTAAGGACCAAAAGGATCATCTTCCTAGGCTGCCCAGCATGCAGCACAAGCTCCTGCCTTGGGGAAGCAGCACTCCAGGCTGCATGGAATGTATTTTTAAGAGAATAAATCTATTTTTTTGTATTTGCAGACATATATTTGGGCTGGGGCAGCTTAGTTAGTTAGAAGACAAATAATGCAAGAAATCTTTTCATAATCACAGACTCATCCAAGTTAAGCAAATTTTCCAGGGTTACAGTATTGCCTATTTCCCTAAACCAAACTTTGTGTCCAATAGAACTATCAGCACTGTTTCACTCTCTCAAAACTCTCCCTGTCTCAGCATGCTCAGTAGAGGGAAGCCAGCTCTTTCCTCCCCAGGCTGCCCATGCAGTGGATACAGATGGTGCTCACTTCCTTCCAGTTCCACAGTGCTCTTAGTCTGCATGCCAAATGTAAACAGACACTTTATCTGCATGTCTCTCCTGATTCGAACACTGTCAGCTCTACAGTATATAACCAATAAAAACTTCTCTTTTTACATGTTTGTGATGTGGTATTTATAGCTCTGGCTGAATGCCTGCAGAGTGTCCGTTACTCAGAGGTACTGATCTGCCTTGGTGAAGTGCTGAGGCAGCTGCACTCTGCAGCACTGTGTGTTAGTGCTGAGTCTGACTACCTTGTTCTTAGGTTTTTGCCTATATCCAGGCTGATCTCATATATCCATTCCTAGGCTGCATTTAAGATATGGACAGTGCAGACACACGTGGCAAATCAAGTTGAACACAGCCACTCTCCACTTTGGATGACCTGGACTTGGCATTGCTGAGAGCAGGTTGGAGGAAGGGCTTTCCTACAGAGGGAAATGAGCCACCGCTTCATTACATTTCCTTGACTCAGCCAATATAGATTGTAATGGAACCAAGATCCATTGGCCATCTCCTGGAAGAAGCTGGAGGATATAGAGGTCAGTACCAGTGGCAAAGTCTCTTTCACAGTTCCTAACTTTCTGGCACATGCAGGTACAATTAGCACCTACCATATGCAGGACAAGTCCCTGTGACTATAACCATGTCATTTGGAGAGAAGTATGTTGATTTGTAAGGGGCTCTGGGCACCACACTATATTGGAGAAAGCTCTTTTCCTTATATCTGGTTTATTCTGTTTGACTGCAAAACTGGATGCATTTCCAGTAGCTCTATTAAATGGGTTATTAGTTTTGACTGGCATTTTAGGAGCCATCCATAGCTGTCACTTCAGCTGTTCCTCCCTGGGTAGAGCTCTAACTAGAGGTGAAGTCCTACAAAGATTCCTTCTGTTAAATATCTAAGAAAACTGACTTTTGGGTTGGCTGAGACCCCTTTCTATCCCAGTTTACACAGGCAGCTATTGAACATCACTAAAGAGGTGGTTCTTCAGCTCTTAACCATTACTGTAACTACAACACAAATGCTGCTGTGTCTGGCTTGCTAAGGACAGCAGAGATCTGTAAACGTGTAAGTGAAGAGTTACTCCATAGCTTCCACATTTGCTCTAAGTCTCCCCCCTACCAACACCTTAAGCATGTACCACAGGGTGGTTCTTTTCCTTGTTTGTGATTCAAGGCCAGGCTCACCACTCCTATGTCAGGACATTATAGTAGGTGTACTGGACTACTGGCCCACCTACCAAAGCATTGCTGCTTAGCCATGAATCTTGACTCTTTCTGAAGCCGTTTTTAATCTGTTCTTTTTGATCAGTCACATCTACTTGCTTTGGTGGGTTTAAGTAGTCCTCTCGTGTTGCCTACAAACAAGTGTATTCTCTTATTACTCCAGCTGCAAACCTTTCTGCTTTAGTTGTACATGTGAGAAGGTTGCTGCTGTAAATCATCTTTATTGGTGAGATTTTGAGCCAGATCATGCATGCTGCCCGTGCCCAGATCAAGCATTGCTACTGCTCCCGTGGGTTCATGATCAGCCACTCACAGAAGTCTAAGTAGTGTCTTACATTTTAACTCTGGCATCACATCCAAAGCACTATTTACCCAAGCTACAGAGGCAGCTGACGGCTCCCCTTAACTGTGTTTCCTGACCTTGCAAACTGATCTGCTTACCACCTTTACCACCACTCCAATCAGAGAAAGTCCTTAATGCTCACCACCCTTGTAGACAGGTAGGGAGCACCCACCCAACTCGAGCCAGTCCCACCGATCTCTGGATGCCTTTAGCATGCAGCATCACTTTTCACTGGCACAGGGCAGCTACCTGCCTGTTGCCCAGCTACTCATGTTCCCACCAACAGCCTTCCTTCCATCAGCTTCCCAGTGTGCTTATCCTGTTAACAATCTTTATTAACATGCTTTTTAATCCAAGGCATCTGAAACCTAGACTTACTTCCTTGCTTTTGGCATTTGCACAGATGGACATACACAATTGTTTTCAAGTTACCTGCATTCAACTTGCACAGGAATTCTGTGCAGCTGTCATCAGGTTATGGAAACAAGGTTTAAGGATACATAGACCCTTCAGTTCCCAAAGACATCTCTGTTACACACTATCCAAGCACACAGATGGCATGAAGTCAGGCACAGCAGCCAGAGCTATTTCCCTTCAAAACCACCACCAGATAAAGCAGTTGTATTTTGTATCACTTGGTGGCCTAGACACCACAGGAAAGGGAAGGTCTCTGTTCATTCTCCTCAGCTTGCTGAGGACTCAAGCCAACATCTGTTAGGCCTTAGCAGACCAGGGTAAAGCAAGGGGGCAGAAGGGTGAAGGGCACCCTCCTACTGAAGCACAGGCTCACACAAGCAAGAATGCAGTTGGGTCAGGAGGAAATAAATGAACAAGTAGGAGGCTGAGGCTTTGCCATTGCAGAGCTTGGGAAGAGAAACACCTAACTTGGTCCAAGGCCTCCCTGGACTCTTCTGCACTCGCTCAGCTCCAAGCCCCTCTTGGGACTTCAAGGCCAAGATACATCATGTGGCTCCTATTCACAGACCACAACCCCATCACCTCCCTACACCACAAACATGAAGGCAAACCCTTCAGCCCCCTTTCCCTCCAGCCCCCTAACAGGATGGCCACAGCCAAACAACTTCATTCATCCTTAGCAACACTCCCTTACTCAGGCACCGAGGACTCCCCTTATCTTCCTTAAAACCCACCATATTATTGGGAGCACAAGCTGTTTCCTTCTGCATAGGAAGCCCCAACACTGCCTGTCAGTGAATATATTTGACATTAACTCTTACTGACCCAGACTGGTGCCCAACACTGCTCTCACTTCTCTGGTGCACCATGAGTAACGCCTCTGCGTATCTGGGACTAATCACCTCAGTTATGATGCCGTGGAGAATAAACCAACATCCTCCTAGCAATGACAGAACTAGGCCTGGATTAGCCATAAAGTTGAAACCATTAACTTCAAGCTCCCATCCAGGATGCTCCTATGGTTCATCCACCAAAGCTGGGATTGTACAGGGTAAACCATGAAACAAAAACCAAGTAGGCTGAACGTGACAACCAGAGGGTGGTGAAGGCTAGGACAAAATCATCCCTTACCATTTCCTTCATGAAACATCTGCGCTAGCTCCGTGTTCTCAGCTGGTGTTTTTTCCAGGCCCACGATGATCTTACCAGCTGCAGCCCTTCCCATCCCAGGCCAGATTCCAGGACCTCCCTTCAGGAGCAGCTTGGCTATCCTGTCTCCTCAAATGGACCAGCTACCTCCAGAACTACGATGAGTTGCCAATAAATAGGAATCCTGTTTTCTTCAAAAGCTGCAACATCACAGCTGCTTCTGAAAACAGGCACAGTGCCCAAACTCTTCACACTTCAACCATGAGGAAATGCTGGGTGGATCATACCAACCAGAACACCCTGAAGCCTGGGTAAATAATATCCTAAATCCTTACGCACTCAAAAAGCATGTTTCCTCCTGTGCTGACCCAAACCAACTGCACAGTGGAACACAGCAGGAAGATACTGCATAGAGTACTGAGGAGATGGTGAGATTTCCAGCCCCTCTGGGCTAAGGGGCACACGTGAAACATCAGGTAGGGTGTAAGGCTTGAAGGCAAATGGAGTACATTAAGTACTCCAGTCACACTCAGTTCTGAATTACATCCTCCCATCATTGTCGGCTACAGAAAAAGTTGGCTTCTGTTGCTGAACAGGAATTCGGTAGTCTTATACATACATTGCTAGTTGCAGTAGTATTTTTTCATGCTTACCACCAAGCTGAAGTATCCTCAGTGAATCAGGAAAAAACATTCAAATTGAGCAATTTGACAAGCTTTATGTGTTACTCAGTAGTGAGGATACAATTCTGTGAGGGAGGAAAAGTCACTAAGGACAGAAGTATGTTGTCCAAACATCAGTTCTAACTCTGCCCAAGAACTTGAGATTGGAGAAATTTCTGTCCTATAACAGTGAATCATGGCTGAGACTTGAACCTCCCCATGTGTTAAGCCATGAGCACACAAAGCTTAACAAAAAACCTGAAAAAAAAATTATGTGGGACTGTGAGGAAAAAGAAGGATAAGTATTGAGTATGTAGAGTACATATATCATACAACACCTGGGTAAGTAGTGTCCATTTTCAGGTGGTTGTGGTCCACATGTCTCTTCTAACCTTGGGTAACTTCAAACACAATTCCACATAGGTGCAGCTACCCAGGGGTGGCTTGGAAGCAAAGCAAACAATAATTTCACCATTTGCAAAATCTAGCACTAATTACCAGATGCTCAAGCAGAGGAGCAGCATTTGGTGCAGGTACGGAGAAAATGCTGCACAAGCTGTGTGGAAGGACAGACACACTGAGCACCACTATTGGGGATTATGGTGTCCTGCCATGAGGTGCTTACAGCCAGACTACACTCAGATAACTGCAATCTAAAACAAATGGTTACCTACACAGATGATCTCTGCAAAGAGACAAGTACCTAGGACCTCTCCACAAACAACTGCATTCAGGAGCTTCTGAAAGGCACGAACCCATAGATGGAAAAACTACTTTATCATCCAGGCTGGGTTGGCATGCCAAGGTATCTGTCTTTTAAGCATGAAGTCTAAAAAACAGGTAATCTACCCTTGTTCAAGTGAAATAGCCTTAAAGTTATTGGGGTGTGGCGATACACTGTCTAGAAAAGAGAACAACAGAATAACAGTGAGCAGAAGTCCCTTCACGGAGAGGTGTAATTAACACAACATTGATGGGGACCAACAAACAATTCGGTAAAACAGAGATCCAAACTTTTGGGCCCATGAGACAGCAGACCCCCAAGCATAGGATATATCCAAAGCATTTCTGCAAGAGTGGAAAGCTGTGAGCTGGGTCTGGAACATGGAAGTGGTAAATAGAAGCCATCTCCAGAAGGTCCTTGAGCTGATATACAACTGCAGTAACAATACCCAAGGTCTGTGAGCATGGCACAGTGGCCACATACTAGTAAGAAAGATTTCGATGTAGGTCCTGTATTACCAGAACTCAAAGACCTAATTAACAGACTCAAAGGTCCTGAAATGATTTGGACACAGGGACATAATGAGTTTCTCTAGAGAAATGTGGCTGGAGGGAGTCTAGACAACTAGTGCAGAGGAAATGTATAAGGTTAGGTGAGATAAAGTCCACCCTAAGTAGGTATTTCAAACATTACCACAATTCTTCCTGCAAAATCTTCCATGAAATGTCTTTGCACATCTTTTATTTGGCAGCAGTCTGAAGTTTGCACTTACTGGTACAGCTGAGTCCACCTCTAATATTTTGATATAGCATGAACATGGCAAGTGATTTCTTCAGCTCAATAGCACTTCTGGATGCTTCTGAACAAGTCACCCTGCTGCTATTTTTTTTGCTTGTTATTTTATGAAGTATGTACTAAACTAGACAGTATTTGCATGAGAAACTACAAAAATTATTCCAAGTATAAACAGGCCCATTAATATAATTGAAGAAAGGCCAGTCTAGATGTCAGCCTTTCTTACAGATTCATTGGGCAAGACACAGAAAGGTTGAACCTACAGCTACAGTAAAAATATGTCTGCTTTGTTTCTTTGAAGCATGGCCACCCTTCATATGACTTTAAGGCTCCCAGTACCATATCACCATGCGTGATAGTGAATTTGGTCAGCTACTCTGCCCCGTTATCTATGTGTGTATGTTAAGAACATGATGATGCTGCGCACACAGAAGTGCAGGATGGTGAAGCCTGGGCTGCATTCCTAACATCAATATTTGCATTGGATATTTTATTGTATTTCTCAGCCTCTGTGATTGATGTTTTCCAGGGAATTTCTAAACACCACGTTGACTTGATGCCTATTAGTGCCTGGAAGTAACGGACAGACTCCACAAGCGCTGTAGGAGCTTTGCTAATAAAAGCCAACAGACTCTGTAGAGAAGCAAGAGCTTTTAGCAGACAAATTGGCAAAGCTGGAAAAACCCCCTAATTTTAAGAAAATTTGTTCTTTGGATAAGACACATTCCATGACTGATATGCACAGGTAATTAAAAGGATGCTTTCACTCTCCACGGACCTCTCTAAAGGCGACTTGTGGGGTTTTTTTGTATTTATCCAGCTGATGCAGGTATCACCCAGAGCATAAGGTCTGGAAGCATGCCAATAGTTCTGTAATATCTGTGTGCTTTAGGGAAGAATGTCAGTGTAAGCATCTCCTGTATCTTTCAATATTGCTTCCAAATGAACAACAACAACAAAAAAATCACACCTTCAGAAATTAGATACATTGGAAACTGCAAAAAAATCATTGGTAAAAGCAGCGAACTCAAAAACAAATCAGCCCATGGCATCTAATTCTCTTTTGGTAAACATTTTTGGGAAAAGTAACTCATGGAATTATCACCACCTTTAAAAAGAATCTGAAGTATACAAATAAATTAAGTTTAGTCACCTCACTTTATGGAGCCACTTCATGGCTTGAAGACTGCAAGATGAACTCTGAGCACCTTGTTGACCATAATACCCTCAGTTGAACTTTTTTAGAAATATAGCAAGAGACCTAGTCAGATGAAAAGATTAATAAGAAAAAACCTGAATCACTCCAGTGAAGTTGTTCCTCTAGGTTTATGATCCAGTCAATTATTAAGATAGCGAAACAGGGAAAACCCATGCTTTGCAATTAATTTCCACTACAGGCAAGACCATAGCAAATATTCTGAATTCCATACAAAGACTGTACACAAAGACCCTGAGCTAACAGTAGTTTATTGCAAAGTAGATGCTAGCACCTGTCAAAAACACAGGCATCTGGAGAACTGAGAAATGCAAATCTTCCTGCAGATTCATCCCATCCAAAATCACAATCTGACTAGGCAATGTGTGCACTCAGGATTTAGAACCCCATGGCAGATTACTGTGGCCCTTAATCTTCAGTACAGAAAGGGAGGTCCAACTAAGGAAGAACATTTTTCTTTCCAAAATAGGCACCAATCAGTTTTGTTGTCAGAAATGCAATTCACCTGCCCATGGAGCAGAGCGAGAAGTGGCAAGTCCCTGAGAATAGGTGGAAAGGTACGCTATACAAGGTGCAACCAGACTTGATCACAAGTTTTTGTGACTGTGCCCAGCAGCCTCAAATCTGTGATAAAGGTTATCCCTGATCTACTGAAACAGATCAGGCAATCCCTACAGGGAAGTTAGGGCAGGCAAACAGCAGCAAGGGGAAGAATGGCTACACCATGAAGGAGGACGCTGAGATGAAGAGGGCCTGGTGACCCATTTAGTTACAATGCCATCTCCTCCTCTGTAGGTCACAGGGGTAGGAAGACTGCAGAGACAGCACTTAAAAAAACCCAGCCATTATGGGTCAGACAAAAGGTCCATCTAACAGACCTTGGCACAGGGAGCAGAAAGCAATATGCTCCTAAACACATACATTGATAGTCTGGACTTGAAGCCACCATTTGAGGTACAGCAGAAAGCACTCCTGGGACGACAGAAGCAGTGGGGTAAGAGCTGCTAACTGCTGGAAGAGTACCTGCTCAAGGAATATCACACACTGGTAGTGCTGCAAAGAGTGCGAGACCATCCTGCTCCTGGACAAACAATGGCAGTTTCACCATATGGCCTGGCAGAGCTGAACCCCAACACTAAGTTGACTTAGCACTATGTGCTCAGGCCACCTTTTCCAGGTCTCCAGCTGGCCCTGGGGTGATAGTGCTTCCCCCCAAGCTTACTCCACCCCCCATCCCAGCAATTCCACAGGATACAACCAGAATAGAGGGAGCAGTCTTTGACCTCCACCCAGCCACTGCTCCCCTCTGCTTAGGACGCAACCAATGCCACTGACCATGAGAAACTGGGCCATGCAGGGCAGGAGCTGCAGCACAGCAGCTCTGAAGTGTCCAGCAACTAGCCGCACAGCCTTATCTGTGTCTTCACTGAGCCTCAAACACCCCTAAGAGCTGAAAGTACTCTGAGCTGTTCACTCTCTAATACCTACTAGCAGGGACTGGCTGAGGAATAGGTCCAGAGTCCCTAGAGATAATGGAGGGCAGGGTGCAGCAGGCCACAGATCATGGTCTTCATCTTCCAGTGAAGACTCTGAAAGCAACAAATGGGCTACATCGAGTCAGAGGGCCTCCTCATCTCCTCCTGGCATTCCTATTCCTTTGCTCATGCCCATCACCACCATCAGCTAACACCCACCAACTCCTTGCACACCTTCAAAAAGGGTGGGAACTGTCAGGACTTCATCTCCACCTTCTTACTTCAGTGGTCATAGTTTTCAGATGTCTTTTTGAAAAGGGAAAGTGGGACAGTCTGGTTGTCAGGTGAAAGATTAGCCCCACTCAGTCAAACCAATGGCAATGTGCAAAAGGAAGTTTGTTTACATTTGAAAGTCTTCGACAAACTACTGCGTGTTGTTTGACAGAATTAGCCTGCTAAATAATCCGCTAAGTCTCAGTCAGAACAAACATAAAGCAGAACAAAGCAGCTGAAAATAATATTAATAGGCTGATGCAGAAGTGGCTTGATATTTGACTGGGAAATACACCATTTGGCTATGTTAAGTTGAGGACTATTTTATTTTCCTGTGGGCCACAAGTGCTTTCCTGACTTTTTGACACTTTGCTAGAGCAAGTGGGATGACAGTCCTCATGGCAAGAGACAGCACCACCACCAATCCGAATAGCAAACGACCCCACAAATATGGAGACCCATAGAGGCTGGAAGCCTGGTTATAGAACATAGCACCCCAACTCTCAGGTCTCTTTCCCATCTTCAGTCAGACTAGCCAGGAGACTATATCAGCTGTTAGTGGATTTTAAACACCTGTCACACCTCTCATCCTGGATCAGGATTTCTCTGGGTAGTGGTGCTGATAGGCTTTTACCTGAACATAAGGTAGGGAGTCTTCGGTCTCAAATTACTCTCTATTTACTCTCAAGTCACCCCCTGGACACCCCTCCTCCATGTCCTGCTGGACTTCCAATTCCTGCCCCACTTCAGTGGCAGTTTTCTGACCAACCATCACAAAGTCTGTCTTGTCCCCTGGAAGGGAAAGCGAGGATGAGTAGTGTTGCTGAGGAGTACCCCCTTCAATAAAGGGCTCAAGTAGCAACAACATTTACCAAGTTAGATATACGGGGAAGGCAGCACTAACTTAGACAGAGGTTCAGGATAGAGGGTCCCCCATGGCACCAAATTCAGCCACTTCAAATGGGCTTATTCCCCTGACACCTCAAGTCTGTGCCCCCTCACAGACTATTACCCCTGCCGCATCAGAGTCCTCCCCTTTCTCACAGCTTGTTGGAAGGACTGCCTATGGAGATACCCCCCCCTCAGACTTCAACATCTAATGAGAAAGCAACCATAAGATAATAGACATAGTCAGGAGAAAGAATGATCTCCAGCTACTAAGAAGGAGACACAAGAAAACAGGAGAAGCAATGATGCTAGAAGATGGAGAGTCTGTGGCCAAAGACAATACGGCTATAAACAAGTAGGGGCTGCAGTCATGTTTGTGTGTGTATTTTCTTCAGGAAGAAGTGTGGACCATGTTATTGTAGAGGGATGAGCATGGAACTAGAGGAGGTACCGGTCCTCCAGCAGAACAGAAGGTGCAAGGACAGAAGGAACCTGGGACAGACTGCACATGTACAGACAGGGGGTCAGATAGAGTGAGAACAGAAAAACTGAAAAGTAGAAAAAACCCCAGTGTGAACAGAGACGACAGTTAGATGACATGGAAATAAACTGTAGAAAGAGGAGGATGAGAAAAATTGGAAGAAATAAGAAAAATCTAACGCTAACCAGGGAATGAAGGACAGGGAAAAAGGACCTAAATGTAAATAAGACTGCTCTGTGCAATGAAAGGAAGACTCTATGCACTGAATTAATAAGAAGAAAAATATCAGGAAAAGCAGCCAAACCAAAGTGATTTTCAGCATAACAATGGCAGCTGCGACATCATCTCATCAACCTAGCAGAAATGAAATCAACAGGTACACAGAGTGACTACCTGCAGTGTGCAGAAGTCAAGAGATTAGGTCCTTCAGCTAACTTACTGTCTAGGCAACTCTGTTTCCATATAAACAAATAGGAATAATTTTTCTAGCTTTTAACTTTACAAATATCCAATTCTGATCATTTTGTTTGTTGAAAGTATTTAATAAAACAGTATGCTTAGCACACTCCTAGTAATACCAGCTTTCTTTCTAAAACAGGATGCACATGGCATAGCAGCCAATGGACCATTTTGGAGGGGTGTGATTTGCTGTTACTGGTAGGGAAACAGTTGCACCAACTTCTCAAATGCCAGGTAAGAATAGAATTGGTCAAAAAATATTATTCCTTAAAATAAAACAATAAAAACAAAACAAAACCCAAAGAAGTTTACATAAATTCTACACTAAGCTACTATTTGTAGCAACCAGCTTCTAGAGGGCCTTGTGCAATTACCAAACTGTAAATACACATATAGGTAGAAAAAAAACCCTAAAAAACCTCCAGCTATAAGCTTGCCTTTCAAAAAGTACCTGCAGAGTCAAAAAAGTCCCTGACCAGCTTGGTAGTAAAGGATTCTGTGTACACTGACACTTCAAATAGCTATACGAGATTTTGTAAAAGGATGCCAAGCCGAAGGTTAGGTAAGTTTTTGTAAGGCCATTCTAACGGAAGTATTATACAGTAACTCATGGCTGAGTCCTTTCAGCAGGTACTGTTACAGACTACGTGAATATCTTCATCCCAGAGTCCACAACAGCAACACTGTGGTCTTGTCACTCTTCTGATACCTTCTACTTTTCTTTACATGCTGGCAGCTTGTTGTGGGGGGACCCCAGGCGTAGGCTGGCGAGGCAAAGTATACATGGCCCCAAGAAATTGGTCTGCAATGCGACCGGCTTCTCGCAGTCCACTCAGTAAAGCACCATGGACAGTTGCAGGGTAGTTGCGAATTGTATGTTCTCCTGCAAAAAACAGGCGAGGAATAGGCTGGAGGGAACAGAGAACACTGTTAAGGCTTGTTCATGTTCTTTCAGATTCTGCAGCAAACAGGTACTTTAAGAACAATGTTAAAAGTCCTCTAATCACACTACAGTCTCCATTAACATGAAGATGTGCATACAAAATAGTCTGTATTAAAAATATTTTAGCCTCTCCTACAAATTACCAAGAAAATACACCTTTCATTTCACAGGAGAGTTTCATGTTTGTAATGATGGTTATATGAGGAAATATTTTCCAATTATTTGACAATATCGTTGCTTTGATACAAAGATATTAAAGCTCTACTTGAAAAACAATACTTTCAGAACCAGGTAAGCATGGGAGATTAACATCCCCAGCTGTATACCAAAAAAGCATTTGAATATTGTATCTTCAACTCTACAGCCAAACTGTTAGACATGTTCAAGAAGAATGATGGTTTCTGATCCTGGGACATGAACTCTAGCACAGTAAGCAAACAAAAACTTCAGCAATTCACTTAAGTTAGTAGTTTCTCTTTAAACTGAGACCTAAACCAAGTATTGACAGTGTCAAAAAGTAGGAGAAAAACATATTTTCATATATTATACTCTGCAGAGAATTATTTTATCCATAGCTATGTTTATTAATGACTTGTATCACTAGAAAAAGAACCTTAATAAAGCCAAAGCCAATATATCCTTCTCTGCTAGGGCTCTCAGAATGGCTATTGCTTTCAAAACTTCATCCTCTCAAAGTGAACTGGAGATGACTTTGTTCCCAATTTGGGAGAGACCTTTTGATTCCTATTCCTCTCACTCTGGCCTTCACCCTCCTTCAAATCACTACAACTCACTTAAATATGGTGATAGACAACATAAATATGGAGTATGAAACACAGTAAATGCCTAATATTATAATACTCTGTTCAGACATTACCAAATTGACTTTCTGAATAAAAACGCTCTTTTCCTAGTAAACAAATTACATGAAACCTGGGAAGGCAGAATTCATGGATGGAAAACAGAATTATATTACAGGTTCTAATCATTCATCAGAAGATGCAAGTTATCTAAACTTGTGTTTAGATCTGTATGCAAATTACTTGGAAAAATCATCCTGTTTTGAGGTTTTTCTAAAAAGGAGTTGGGACATCTCTCACCTGAGGAGCACCTGGAATGGCTGGCCCTGGAGTAATTGGCTGAGCCATCAAATCATAGTCATTTCCAGAAGATCCAGCTGCTACATAGGAGTACGATCCCCGGGCCCATGGGTCAGCACGCCAGCGGGACACCACAGTCTCTTTAGGCTGAGACAAGACAGAAACTTCAGTTGTTGACACAGTGCAATTTCTACAATTAGTACAAAATACAAAAGATGCAAATTGCAAGAATAAAAGACACAAAGTCCTTAGGCTAACATTAATGGTGGAACTCCCAGTTTATATTCCATGATAACACATACTAAGGTAAATAACTTGTCGCTGGTGGCAATACCTTAATTCTTTCCAATATATTACCAGAACCTACTGCACATAGCTTCTGGATCAGAACTCAGACTTTGTAGTCAGCTGTACATGCACACTGTGTAGTGTTTGCTCTGTTTCTTCTCTTATTATCAACATAATGACAATGCACACTTCCTACTCCTTTACTTTCTTTCAGCCACAGCTCATCTGAATCTCTTGATTTGACTATGACATAGGCCTATATAAGCTCTGTAACTCACCAGGGAAAATGACTGCATGAAGGGTACCTACACAAACACCTATATTTCTCCAATCCATCTGGTTTGCCAAGGTAATGGTCACGATGAAAGATATTCCACTGAAAGATGCAACAGTGAGAGCATCACCAGGACTCAAACCAGTATCACTCTAAGGCATAACAGCAGTCAAGAGAAAATGGGACATCTTCCTAACCTTGCAGACATAACACTGAGAAGTGGTGGGTGTGAGTCTTAAAATAGCCCAGACTCTGTCCAAATGTGTAAATGTGTAACTGAGTTTTAACAGGAATCATACCCTGTAAAAATGCAAACATCAAGACAGGAAGCTCATCTCCTCTCCTTGGCCATGAAGGTATTTCATGGAATTGTTTATACTTGAACAGAACTTCCCACAAAGGAAGAGAAGGAGGCTCTATCTAGTGAGGACGTTATCCAGAAAGCAATCCAGCAGGCATCATATCACATCATGGCAAGAGAAGTCTCCTGGACTCAACACCAACAGATCTGAGATGATCTCCGAGGCTGGCCTCAGCTGGACTATATCTGATGCCTTCTGCTGAGTCTGTGGAAAGGCCACAGAGGACTGGGGCCACGTTCCAAGGTATAAGACACCACTGGGGGCTGGAGACCACATTTTCCAATAGGGTCTGATGACTTGAGAAAATTCTTCACCGCAATTTTCAGCGCTTTTTTATCCAAAAGGTAAGAAACTTGAGTGATAAGCCAGCCCTCATATACTGACTGCTTCTTGAGAAAAAAGCAACCTCACATTTCCCTCCTTGTTGGATGGAGACCACTGTGATGGCACTGTATGTTACCACATATATGTCTGGCAAAGAAAACTTTGAGCCATTTCATAAAATTCTTAATTCTCTCTAGTAAACACATGAAGCATTGCAATCTAACAGGGAATAAAGCCAGACAGAAATTTTACTTCACTGAGGTAGTTTTGAAAGTATGGCTAATCCAGGCACAATTGTAGAGCAGAATACAAAAGTACCGGTTCCCCAATCCAAACTGCACCAGTCCAAACAGCAACTGTGGTGTTCATGTGCCCACACACCCATGTATGGGTATGAGTCAACTTTTATTTTCAGACTGACAAGCAAATGCTATAATTAGGATTCCCTGTGAACAGGAAGAAGGATGGTTGGAGGATAAAACATGTACTACAACAGAAGTGGTACAAAATTTGAATCCTACTCTACAGAGGACATGAAGCTTGCAGAGGTTAGCTGCACAGCAGGTTGAGAAAGCTTCCATGTGTTGAAGAACAGCAGAGGGAAAAAATGGTTCTATCTGTCTTTGGGAAATGAAAACCAAACCAGAAAGACAAAATAAGACAGTACTAAGCAGCACAGGAACGAGGAGGATGGCTCACATTCCAATGAAGTGTTACTTTAAACAAAATTTTTCTGCTTCCCTGTTTTGGACAGATATGAGGAACTGCACTTGCACAGCAAGCTCTGCTTCATATATAGTTGTTCATCCAATACAACAGATGAGAGTGCTGTTTATCCAGACTGATGAATGGCTGTCCAGAAGACAGCCTCCAGCAAATCTCTCCATTATCAAGTGCTCATAGTACATAAGCACCTGAACTGTGAATATGTTAAAACAGAGACTCAGAGATCTCACTTATCACAACCGAAACTGCATTCTCCTTTGAAAGACTGATCAGATATGGAGTCATTCTGTAACAGAGTTATCAGTTAATGCACTGAAATATTTTAGAAGTTCATGGAGTTCTCTAAATTTGATGTTTATCGACAGTAGAATCCATATTTCTCAAGATTCTGCAATTTGGTAGTGTGTGGGTTTTTTCACTTGAAAATCCTACTAGAGAGCAGCTGCAGTAAAACACTTTGCTCTTGGTTCACTGTAGAGTGATTTCTACAGCACCTGTAGACAGAAAAGTCTCAAAGCTCCTCTCAAAGAGAGATCTCATTAGGAAGTGAAATTGTCTTCTGGGACTTCAGAGAAGGAGCTGTGGATTTATCAGAAAGGCAAGCCTGGGGTTTCCTTCTTTTGTGTTCTCCAGTCTGAGACATAAAATTCAACTGATTGAGCGTTTCCAAAATATGAGATCCACTCATTAACTAAAAATCCATGCTTACAGTCAGCTGTGAGGATTTGTCCATCACATAGAAAGAAGTAAAATACTGGGGATTATAAGGCCATGTTCAAGAAGAGCTCTACAACTACTCTACAATAAAGACAACAAAGTGAATCTGTTCCTCACATGAAATACCAAGCAAGTAAACAGTCCAATTTACACATGGCCAAATGCTCAGAGAAGACTGGTGTATTAAAGTTACCATGTATTTTTTCATTACTTTACTATATAGAAATCCCAGTGGAGGAGAGCTATTTATTTACAACCAATGCCATTTGTAAGAACTGCTGCCTGTTAGGACAACAGACCAAGTATTCAACTAAGTCACACACACTGTGTGTTGAACGGACTTTTCAAATCAATGTCCTAAGTACCCAAGCTTCTTTTGAGTAATATTAACTATTTTCCAAACTCCGCCTTCACTAACCATTCCTTTTACACTTATTGTGCCTAAATAACTGTTGGCTAGCTGCACAAGGAACTGATCCAGATGAAAGATTGCCTTTACTCCCTTCCTTCCCCTTCGGCCATTTTCCAGCCAAACCTGTTTCTCTGCAGAATTCACTGGTCAAGAGCTTTACTGTACTTTAGAGAAGGTGCAGAACATGGCAGGGAGTATCTAAGCAGTGTTGTCACTAGCCACGGACAACTCTGCTGTAACGCCAGAAATGTAAAAGGTAGAAAATTTACTGAAGTGTTGGATGCTCTGGAAAAGTTAGAGTCTTACTCAGTCTAAAACAATCTTCTCAAGAAAAAAAAACCCACCCCCCCACCCCAAACAAAAAAAAGCCCTAACCGCCAAAAAAACCCAAACCCACAAACAGCCCCTCCTCCCCAAAACCCCTGAACAACCAAAAGGTGGTACATATACCATATACCAAACAGTTCAATACTGCAGCAAAGCTACTGAGAATTGTAGTACATTCTGAAATGCAGAGAAGTTACCCAAAGACACTGTCTGTACTAACCTGTGGCACAGCACTACTACCAAATATGCCTTTGAGGATGGCAAGGCACCGTCCAACAATGACATCATCGCTGATATTTTCCATGATCCCTGCTGCTTCTCCTGCTACCAAGGCCAACAAAATTGGTGCTGAGAGGGCGGGGGGAAGGAGAGGAAAAAAAACAACTGAATTATTGAAATTGAACATTTTAATCAGGCAAGTTGGAATTGAATAGGCATGGACCTGCAGCTAAGTCATGAGGTTAAAAACTAAACAAACCCAACAAAAGTAGTCCTAAATCTTCCACCATCATGTTGAATTACGAAAAGGAAAATGAATTAATATATGCTATGGTACTATTTAGAATTGTCAAGAGAACTGATGTATTAAAAATTAAATACGCACATTAGGAAGTACAGCGTGCAGAAGAGAGGAAAGGTTTTCTTTAGTGAAGACATCACTTGTTTGACATAGGAGTTTCCACCGGGATTTAACAGTCATCTGTGCTACATTTAAGGGAACTTAATACCTTCCAAACCATCTAATTTAGGTACAATTAACATCAGCATAGCAGTTAAGTTACCTGTATAGGTACTTCAATCATATAAAGTATCTAGATTTCTTTGTTACCAATGCACATTCACATTAAATAATCTCAGTGGAGTGGAAACTATGAACAGTAGAACAGTATCAAGAAAAGCAGTGATTCTAAGAAGAACTCAGAATTCAAATGGACAGATATCAAGTAACTCAGCTGTCCATGTGATGCTGTGGTGAAGAGTGTTAATGTGACTATACAATCTACAAACAAATAGATGAGGTCATTTTACCTCTGACCAGCTATGGTAAGACTAAGCATACATTTGTGGTAGCCACAAATTCAAGGGAAAACTTAGATAAGTATCGAAGAGCTACCAAAATAACCCAATGACAAGAAACATGCATTTCAAGAAGTGACTCATAGATCCAAGCATGGTTACTTAATGAAAACTCTCTCAGTTATCTTTCTCCTCCTGGAGATATTTATGAATTCCTAAATTCAGCAAGGGAAATACTACAGCTAGAAACAGATGTGAAGCATATTGAAACGGGAAATACAGTCCTTGTTAAAAATTTGGCTTTAACTTTTGTACAGATTTCCAAAATGATTAGTGAATTCCTTATATCCTGGTATATATGGAGATCTCCTGGTATACATTCCCAGCGAGTTACTGCTCTTTAAAGAAAACTGGCTAAAGTTCAGTTGCAATACACAGGCTGGAAGACCCAGTAATATATTCTGGTTAAAAACAAAAGTCTTTGAAATTCTGAAGAAGTTAGACTAGTAAGGATGTTACAACTACAAAGATAATTACACTACGCAAGATACAATTAAGACACTTCAATACACAGGACCTCTGGGACTAGAAAGAGTTTATTAGACAAAAAAGTTACAGGATTGCTCCTCTAGTTAAACTCCATTTTCTGAAAGATTAAGCCTAGTCTTTTAAACAATTGAAGGAAAGAACAAAAAACTGGTCTCCTATCATCCACAGGCATTGGGGAATTTTTTTTTGTCATTTCAGCAGCAAAGTTTTTCCTAGTTTGCCATCCTTGACACAATGAGATCCCTGAACTTTCCAGCAATTACTGTCAACGTATTTTTTCTTGATGGAACAACTACATATTAAAAATGCAGCTTCCAGTGAATTTGTTCATGGTAACTTGTATTCAGACAACCCCAAAATATTTTTATGGAAATCCCGCTTTCCAGGTATGAGACCCTGTTCTATAAGCATTTATCCAGACCCGAAAATGTTGCTATTCAGTCACCTGGATTAATTCAGAACTGTAAGAGAAAGCCAGAAGGTTGTAGCAGAACAGTGACTATTTTGCTATGCAAATATCAAAGTGCTGCTCAGAAAAGCTTCTTGCATGATAAGCATGTGTCACTACACCACAAAAAAATTCTCGAGGCAGTGATGTTTACTGAGCCTTGATACCAAACAGCAAGCAGAGAATGTGGTTTAGCCAGAGATCAGAGAGTAGCCACAAAACTATGACAGAGAAAGGGCCTCATCTTTTTCATCACATCTCTAGGAAAAACAGAAGAGCTAGGCAAGAAAAGAGAGACTGAAATGTCATTGGACTTCCAGAAAACACTGAGTGTTTCTGCCATGAGTTCCTCTGCCCTGTGCTGATGGAGTCTCTCCATCCTAAAGTGTGTCTACAAGGCTACAACAATAATCCAATAGCATTGCAGAGCAAGAGGCACCAACAGCTCAGGGCAGCTGCTCTGGGACATGTATAGCGTTCCTGAGGCTACAGGTTTTCTCAGCAGTCATCATCTGAACTAGACTTAAACCACAGGGAGGATTCCTGTCTGAGGTACAACAGGTCACCCAACAGCAGTACAAACACATGCAGTCTTTTCATCTGAGTTTCACTGCATTCACCCACCTATCTTTAAACCCTTCTCAGAGGCCAGTTGGTCCCTGCCAACACAAGACCTTTAAAGAACTTTCACAGAGCTAATACAGCATGTGCTGTGATACTTTTGGTTTTTTTTGTTTCTGGATTAATAATTGTTCTCTGATCTGTTCAGTTTAAATAGTCTCTGCCCAAAGTGCTATGGCTACAGAAATACAGAATATGACAGAATAACAGCTTTACAAGTTCAGTCAGGTCTGCTTTAGTATTTCACAGTGCAATCATGTTAACTGCCACCTAACTATCCACAAGAAATGGTAATTGATTTTCTTCTATTTCAGCCATCTGACTTATGCTTTAGCATACGATTTTATTGCATTTCTACTTTATTTCTATGTGCTCTGCCTATTTTCATGAGAAAGAAGGTTTTGCATCTAGCAGCAAAACCTTTGTATGCGAGATTGTCTTTCAATGTAAACCAAAACCCCATCACTACTTGTTAAGTATGTAACACAGCCATCTTAAAGCCACAAAAGCAGATACATAAACAGCCTTATTATCCATGGCTCATTGCTTGTATCTCTCCAGTCAAGTCTTACCAAACATTGTAACAATTAAATAGCCTAGAAAGGCAGGTTCCTTGTGCAGCAATTTTCTCCAGTTAAAAGAAAAACCTGTCCTGCCCGTGACAGGCTGGAAGAAAAACCCGTGGTACTTTAAACAGTCATCTGAAAGAAAAATAACTCATTTAATAGTGCTCACTGTATATACACCTTTGCTTTTAGTATGGCAGTGAACAAAAACAGTACGCTTACTGAAAAATATCTTCTGACAACCTCTTGTCACAGACACCAGCTGCAGATAAAAAAAACTACTAATGGCAAAGTCCAGCTGTAGAAACAGGCAGAGCAAAACCTTTTGCCTACTTAAGCATTTTCTAAAGAGGAGTTCTAAAATCATCTGTCAGTCTGAGACTCATGGTCTGTAAGTCACAGCCGCTTTGCTGCTCAAAACAGTAAACAGTCATCCATTCAACAAATTGGATCCACTGCAGCTAGCTTGCCTTTCCTCCAGGGCAGACTGCATCTTAACCATATGGATGGGCCTGCAGCTCATCAAGCTGGAAAGGTAACGCTCAGCAAGAGGAATGGAGCTATCACAAAGCCTCTAGTCTGCTCCACTGACATCTGAGTGTTCAATACTCTGTAAAGGCTGCACTGCACCCCCCTGAGAAATCAAAGCAGGATAACATACAAGCATTGAGTTCTGCAAGTCAGACATGTAAGAGAATACACAAGTCAACAGCACCCCTTACATCTGAAAAAAATGTAGTTTATCTTGGTTAGATCCTAGCCACTTAAGTTTGAAATCCTGGGCAGCAAAGTCACCTGTACCAGAAAGGACTAGAGGTCACAGACAAAGGGGCTCATCTACAGTTATCGAATCATCCTAGATTAGATAGACAGTCCCATCCTAGATTAGACTCAGTCCCAGCCTGGCTTCAAACTATCAGTTGAAATTGAAAAACATCCAGGAAGCTGAGGTTTTCAAAACTAAGACTAAATTGGATGCCAGTCCCATCTGCATGAGAAGCTTAGTAAAAGAGGGGAAGAGCTCAAACAATATTTTAAGTGGCCAGAGAGAAAATCGATTTCAAAGAGACTTATGAACTAAGAAGTGGCTTTTAATTCAGAAAAGCTGCAGAGGCAAATCACCCTTTTCTTGAAGAACTCAGTACATCCTCCTGACAAAGTAGATACTGAATTAAGACAACACTGCTCTTCAGCAAACAGAATGCACATTATTTGCTGTATTTTTTAAATACTATATAAACATGTTAGATGAGGTTTGGGGTTTTTTTCCTTAATACAGCACAATAAAAATCAAAAAAGTTAATTTTTTCAGAATACCAGTGGCAATTAAATAGATGGTTAAAAGAAGCAACCAAGATAATACTGAGTAAGTCACAGAACAACTTCAATGTGCAAGACAATAAAGTAGCCAATAAAACTGTAAGTGTTACGGTAGATAGGTAGCAACACAATTTAACAGACATAGCCTCCAATTCAGCATTGGTAAACCCGTACTCATCCATGTCCTGCCCTAATTTACTACAGAATTGTTTACAAGTCAGTGCTGCTCTCTGCTTCCATTTGTCTTCCTACAAATACTATCTTCTTATCAAATCCATATGTGAACACTCACAGCATCATAAAAAGTGCTCTTTTCTGGATCTGAAACTACACAAATGACACACTGGCGAAAGTAGACATGCACCACAGCTACCTTTGTACAGGTTCCAAAACAGGAAAAGTTCTCCTCTGCTTGCAGTAGTGCTACCAACATGACCAAACAAATTGACACTTGGATCCCAGAAGACACGATCAAAACACAACACAACCTAGAAACAAAAAAAAAAATCAAGACTTAGGAAGCACACACAATAAAAACAAAAATAGAGACAATTACACTCATTGGTGTTTATCACTGGAAAGGTCAAGAAAGGAAAATCTGGTGAATATATACTGCATATACATAATACATAAAGGTGTATACCTACACTGCCTTCCATAGGTTAGTGTGCCCTCACAGTTTACAAATTTGCTGGTTAACAAGCTACAGCAGACATATTGAGTCAATCTACTTCTGAAATTTAACTATTTAAAAATTGTGTGGGAAATAGAGAAGAGGTCCTTACAGTTCTTCAGATAATTTTCAGCATCAAAATCTAGCAAAACAGCAGTGGAAAAAACGTTCTTCCTCTCATCCACCAAACATTTTCCATAGACATTTCAGATTCTACCTATTGCAAACCCTGGTCTGCTGCAGTTCCCTCAAAGACCAAGTCACCTTGTTAAGGTTGCCAAATCCCATACGCTGCACTGCAGAAGTTTTCCACTCAGGAAGAGGCGGCACAAACTGTACTGCTGGAGGCTGCTGTTTCAATACTCCCAAGGGAAGAGTACACAGCACAGCATCACATTTGTAAATGAAAGTCTGGCTAGTAGATCGGGTATTTACAGCTATCACTTCACAGCCTGGAAAGGGGAGAGAAAACCAATCATTTAATAGGCCAGGAGGCAAGAGCATTAGATTAAATATTAAACAAACTACCATAAAACATATCCACATCAGAAAACATTTTGTTTATCGAGACAACTTTACACTAACATTTACTTAACTTGTAGGCAAGTGAATGTTACTGGCCACATAGCTCAATTCCAGAAAGTGTAATTTACACAGCATCTGAAAATGGCCATACTGGGATAAGCCTAAAGGTTCATTTAGGACAGTGAATGATATTTAAATATATGCATAAATAGAGCAAGTAGAGTGAGCCTCTCATTGAGTTGCTCTCCCAGTTGACAGTTTCCTACACAATTAATCACAGTAAGAAGTGTGGCTGTTTATCTAACCCAAAACATATAATGGGAGGGTTTTTACGAGATCAATCTTCACATCTGCTTCCAGAAGCACTTAAACCTAATTTCTATGATCATACTCCCTCAGAGCAGTTTTCCGGAGGAGGTGGCTTCATTTACCTGATGCTGTATAGCGAACCTGTCGAACTGCTGTGTTTAATTTAATATCTAGCCCTTCTGCCAAGGCTACAGGCACACAGGAATATCCATTCCTCACAGTCAAGTGACTGCCTGTGAATTCAAAGTCATCATCCTACAACAAAAGATGCATAAAAAGCATGCATTTATAATGAAATCACATAATTCAATAGAAAATAATCAGCAAATCTACACAATGGCAAAACTTTTTTCTAAAACCTTTTTTCAAAGAGTTGAATAAATTTGACAATCTTTCTGTTAATTAGTCAAGTAGTAAGTATAGGAACTTTCAGTAGACAGTATTATTAGATTGTTTTGGCACTAACAAAAAGCTGACAGCACTTCAGTGTTTAGAAGTTATTAACATAGAGAAGCTTCCATGAGAATGAAGTAAATATAGCTTAAGTTTTTAGTGTACTGCTGAATGAATACATTAATTAGCTACCTGGTCCCAGTGCTTCAGTGAAAGCGTAGACAGGGGTGTAGCATTAGCAAATTCTAGGTTTGCAAAATGCCAGTCAAGTATTTGCCTGTCTCTTGATGACAGATAAACATCACTAGAAAAAACAAACATAATACAAAGACATTTAGTTTGCTGGAGTATGATGTTGCAAATACATTGCTTTTGAAAAATTTATTCACAGTCTTTTTTGAGTCCCTCCTTAGTGGAAAAATAAAAAAAGAACACAAGCAGATTCTGTTTCAAGGAGTTGGACCTCCTTCATGAAAGCTGAGCATCAAAGCCCAGCAAATTCACATTTTCAAAGTAGAGTACATGTAAAATATTCTAAGTGAAGCTAGAAACTTAACTTTAGAAATAAAAAAGTTACATAAATAATGGCTTAAGTAGCATGTATAAAGACAACAACTAAAAACCTAGTGTAATCACATAGAGCACAAAATAATAATATTCTGCCAAAATAAGCAGGATTGGTATGCTATCATTAGTGATGGGAATTTAAAATCTCAAAGGCTTCCTGAGATCAGGCACTAATTACAGTAAGGATTTCTACTGAAATGCACCCTAGCTAAGAACCACCTTTTTTGTCCGAGTCACCTCTAAAAATGAGGAAGATTAGTTTAAAGCTGAAGGAACTCAAACTTCATGTTTGTACCTTCCTAACCCCTTGAGTTACCATAATTAAAACAAAGCATACCATAGCATTTTTGAAACTAAGTGAAAAGTAGTAAAAAACCTGCTTTCCTGAGTATTTATTTTTATAGTTTGTATCTTTACCTTGGTGGATTGGCTTCAAGTTCTTGTAACTTCTCTTCCAGCTTTCCTTGTGTTTCTGCCAATTCATCATACTCCTAATAAGATTTAAAGCTAGCATTAAAATCAGTTTACAAAAAGGACTTAAAGACATCATGTAGCATCAGACTAGACCTAACCTCAAGAGAAATCAGTGGAAGATTCATGGTTTTAGTGGAATCTAAATCAAGTTCTTTATTTTTTCAACATTTAATCCAGCATATTTTGCCCTTCTGCTGTTCGAATATATAGAAGTCTATGCCACACTGCAGAAAAGATGAGTACACTAATATTTCAGGAATTTAAACACTCAGATCTAAAGAACATGCAGGTCCATTACAGTCCTGCAATTTTAAGGGCTCCTATGGTACTGAGAGCTTTTTCATATTGGACAAAATGTTATTTCTATTCTTCTCTCTCTTGAAAGATTATAGTTCATATCAAACAGAGATTTCCAAAGCAGAAGCAGTCATGCAAAAGGCAAAGACATGATCTAATTCAAGCTCCTTTCAGAGGTTTGGGGTTTGTTGGTTTTTTTTCCTTTATTTTAAAAAATATTAGTAGAACTAGGTATAAAGGCAACAATCATTTTCCTTCAAGGCAGAATAATTTGGAGTGTCCAACAATAGCAACAGGAGCACAAAGCTGTTCATTGGTGACAAAATAGAAGAGCTACTACTTATGTATACATAAAAACATTGAGCTTCCAAATAAAGGTATGTATCTTCTATTGCACAAGTCGCTGAAAAATGATCCTTAGGTCTATCTGACCTGGTTTAGCAGGGTGTCTTTCACTATCAGAGAAAGCACAGTTTTTAAGGTTTCCTTTTTAAGGCATATTTCTACATCAACGTACACCCAGAGAGGGGGACTGACTCTGCTTGTCAGGACAGAGCTCTGTAATGATAATCTTTGGATAGAAAGAAGTCTTTTATTCAGGAAATCACCTTTTCTATCTTGGAAAAAGAGCATTTCTCTTCAAGTGCAGATTTTATTTCCAGACTATTGTGAGACCCAGCAGTACTAACTAAAGACCAAGTGTGATCTAAAATTTAGCCTTCAAAACATTAAATCCTGTCTGACATGAGCCAGCACAGACTACTACCTAAAATTGAGCCTTCATCGTGTTAATACTCTCCATCATAAGCCATGAAAGACAGGTACCTAAAGGTAGTTAATGCAGCCCTGTTATCAGTATTACAACCCAGAGCTACCATCAATCACATTCTCTTGAGAGTGTTGGATCAGAGAGATGTGGAAACATTTATATTGGCTTATTTTGGCTGGCTGCTGAAGTCCTCAGCAACCACTGACTTAAGTGCTGTATGTATGTCATCCTTTACCTTGCAAAGTGCAGTCAGATCTCTGTGTTTGCTTTTCACAAGAAACTCTGCTGTAATATCCCGAGGTGGCTTCACTTCTGATGCTTCCTTATACTGTTGATGAAGTTCTTTAATCTTCTCTTTTAAATTCACCATCTTTTTCAGGTGGAGTAGAAAAAGGGAGCAAGGGGTGGGGGGAGGGGAGGGAAGAAGGGAAGATAGTTTTCATGCATGTTACTGTGTAAAATGGATATTCATCTCAAACTATGCCATTATACCAAAGAGATTTCCAGGTTTTGACAGATGTTACTTATATATATGCAATTCTACCTCCAAGAAACCACAATAAATACCACCAACCCCAAAACAACATGGCTTAGACCCAACATCGTTGATTTCTTACAAAATATCTTGCAAATAACTTAGGATATGAGAGCTATCCTCAGACATTTTTAATTTGAGAAACTTCCATGAAGATGTAAAGATGTCATCTACCACAACCAAAACTAATTTAAGTAGGCCTAAAACACTGTTTCTACACTACAAATCAGATTTGTGGTAAAGAAAGTAAACATTTTAAAATAACCCCCCAAAAGCCTCAGTCATTATCAACATCCCTCAAGGAAGCTATGACACAACACTGTTTATCATGTCTGTCCTCTCCCTTTCTTTTCCCATATTTACGTTTTACAGTCTTCTGCCTAGTCACTTATGTGCTCCTCCTCAAAAATGGAGACTCCTTTGTTATAACAGTGCTTCTAGAAAGGTCTTAAATGAACAGATATGTTTAAGAACAGCATTAATGGCAACTTTCTGATATTTTTCCATGGAAGTTTTTGTTCATTTTGGCACTTTCTGAGGAACACAATGCTATCCTTTTGTTCTAAATGTCATTATCTGACCTTGTTAAGAAGATCTTTCAACTCCTCCTGTGTTTTCACAATTTTTTTCCAGTGTTCAATCTGCTCATCCTTCACATGCTTCTCCTGCAATCTGGAAAACGTAAGTAGTTAGTTCACCATAAAATCCTCACATTATTGAGAAAACTCATTATCACAATCTAATTAGCGTAATGCAATAAAAGCACGTCATGGGATATTTTAGTAAATACTCATATGGCAATTACAAAATTAATACAAGTTTCTGTAAATAAGGGATATCTGACTAGCTAAAGTGTGAGTCTGAAGTTACCTATTATTATTAAAAGGCATATTACAAATGCCATTAGCTTTCAAGTAGCCTAAGTGGGCTGTATGTATGTCAATTATCCACTATCAGTTGCTGTAGCAGTGATTTTCAGGAAGCTTTCAAGAGAAGATGTTTGCTCCTTTAACCATCTTTGGCATATTTTGCTTCAATAAACAAGAAACACATACACAAATGAGAACTCAGCAGAGACCAAACAGTTGTATGAAGTGGGTAATGCTTACCCTAGGGGCATCACAGTTGTTTCAGATGTCTTTTGGAAAATTCTCCACAAAATAGGAAAGTCTACCATGAAGAGAAAAGTCACTTACTGTATGACAACCTCCAGAGCCTGACCTAGGGAGACAGGCTTATTATTGAGAACATTAAAATCCAGCTGGTGACTGAGGTAGGATGTGGCTTCCAGCAGACGATTAAATTCTTGCTCCACCATTTCATCTTTCTCTTTTGGAACCTAGGAGTCAAAAGAACAAACTTTCTTGTTAATAACCTATTCATAAAAAAAAAAAAAAAAGAAAAAATACTGGTCACAAAAGCTCAAAGCCTCAGAGACAAGACATTCAAGTAGTACATAGAAAATTTTAAAAGAAACCAGAGCAATGACACAGATTACCTTCTCTACTGCAGTCTAAATTCACAACAACTATCTGATGGCTCTTTTTCAACTGTTATTCACCCCTAACTCCAAGTATACCCTGTGTTGACTGGGAAGTTATATCAGTATCTCATTGCTCTAATTAGGATTCCTCTTCCACTCTGCAGCTGGCCACTTACTCTTGTGCCAATGGCTATCTTCTAGCTCTGTAGATCTTTCTTGTCTGGCATTTTCCCAGACTGAAACACTGAGGTTCACAATTAATACTTCTATTTCTGGGTACATATCATAAGCATAACAAGCCAACTTTTCCAACTGCGTATACTAAGATGTTGATTCTTCCACTATTCTTGTGGTGAAATGTCTTAGAACCCCATACTGTTCTGCAGGTAGTGTCTCCCTGGAGACCTACTGCATCATGAAATGAATTTCACTATTTCTGATGGATCTACTTTTTTGAGAGAATCTTAAGAATGAAGATACCTCCCCCAGCCCATGGCTGCCAAAGATTAGTGACTCACCTACTCTGCAATGAGTGCAAGGTTCTCCTTTTTTCTTATTACTGAAATTCTCCCATCACTCAAGGTTATTAGGTCTCAAAACGAATGATCTCTTTTTTGACACTGCTATATTCTATACTATATCCACTATTTATTTCTCAAGATCATGTGCTTCTAAAACATGATAAAAATTTTGACATACTGTCAGCTCACAGGCTGGAATATTATACACAACAGCACTACAGAAGACACAGATTATATGATGTCTAGAGCACATATATATAAATTAATATTTTTTTAACTATATATGTGGATATTTCAAACTTTCCCTATACTTATCTCCAGTCTTGTCCAATCTACAATTTCAAGATACAGATGCATGCTTACATTTCTGCTTATTCATTTGTGTAAAAATTGAAAATCTGTCCCAAAGACCTCTATTGCCTTCCCTGATTGATACTGCTCCCCTTCAGAATTACATGCTGAAATTTCCTCTTTAGCCAGATCTGTACTTAAGATTCTTCTATGCCACCCTCTCCAGTAGCTGCTGCCACTCACATTTGATAACAATTGCGTTAACTCTGTAGCTATATAACAATGTAATCTCTACCTATTATATTCAAAAAGATTTGGGGTTTATACTAAATAGAACATGTATTTCACAATTATGAGACTATTTTCGTATATGTACCAGAAAGCTTCAACAAGGCTACTGAACATAGCAGAGGTATAAGGAAAGCTTCAAATGGCAGTTCCCAAATGCAAACTTTTTTGTCACATTCCAGTGATACACCCACTGCTGACTTAACCTTTGTATTCTTGTACTACACCTGAATACTAGGATCTACTTTAACAACGTGGGTAACAACATGGGTACGTACTGCTGTGCCCTTTTAATTTTTTTTAATCATGAAGAAGGAAGAGCTGGAAATGAAAAGGCATGATCTAAATTACTTGGTTTCTAGGATACTTCCTTACAGTCAATCCATGGATAAGTGATTCTGTCTCTGAAGAGAAGACCCTGGGGATGAACAGGATGCTGCCGCAGCTTCTGGCTTAAGTAGAAGCCGTGTCTCGGTGGGCCAAAACTTGGTACACATCCTCAGCAGAAGTCTCAGTTGAAAACAGAGGACTTGCTACCACTAAGCACTGCCTTAAGACTGAAGAGAGCCACAGGGCAGACTCCACTGAATGATCAGATTTCAGATCTTTTCTGGATGAATAGGTGTAGGACTGAGGGTTGAAAAATTAAAATTAGAGCTCCAGTTTCAAGAAACTGCTGGGAATCACTTTTATCATTTAAGCTTCATCTTCCAAGTTCCAGCTTAAGCATCTGTTATTACACCACAAGTCAGCTGCGATGAATGAAGAAGCATTGCCCAAGCATGCAGGGATGGCATTAAGAAAACCTGAAGACAGAGTTGAAACTGAGATGCTGGACCTACAAGGGCAAGAAGAAGGGCTCTCTACATACACAGCAGTAGCAAAAAAGTAAGGATAATGCAGACTGCAGGCCTGCTGCTGAACCTAGTGGTAATGGATATGGAAAAGGCTAAAACACTAAATTCCTCTCTGCCTCAGACTTTATGGGTAAGGTCTGCTCTCAAGCTTCCCCAATCTCTTCTCCTCTCAATGTAATCTCAACAAGTTGGGGGAACGGGCTGACAAAAACCTCATGAAGTTCAAAGGCAAAGCCTTGAAACTGTGACGGAATACCCCCATGCCTCATGACAGGCTGAGGACTGACTGTTGGGTATCAGCTGCATCCTGGTGGACAACAAACTGAAGATGGCACTACAAAATACACACTTCCCAGCAATGTGAAGTTAGGATGAAGAAAGGGAAAAGAAATGACATTTTGATATTTACATTGCCTACCTTTACACAGCTGATATCAATGCCTTATTCAGAAGCTTAGGCAGCTGTGCAGACAGTAGAACTTCCCAAAGACTATTCAGAACTCCTGTATCAGTAAATTTTTTGGAGAAAACCAACTTACCAACTCACAAATAAAGGATCTGAAACTTGCAGTCATTAAGAGCCCATCCTATATGCGAGAAATTGACTCCATCTTCACTTCTTCAGAGAGAAGTCTTTCTTAATTAGGTAACACCACGGCAAAGACTAAAATAATAACCGCACTTTAGAGGAGTGGTAACTGAAGGTATAGAACTGCTCGATCTTGGGCCATCATACAGTTGCGCGCAGCAAGAGATTTATGACTTCACTGCAGAGCTTAACAATGAGGATGTATACTCAGTATAGAACTTATGTACTTTCCTCTTCAGTAAAATGCAGATAGCAGAGAAAAAGACATAGACAGACTGGCAGGAATGGTTAACCATTTAAAAATACTTGTATAAACGTGGAAAGCTGTCAAGACAGTAGCCAAGGTATGAAGGACATCCCATTATTACTTGTACCTAGACTTCTAGATGCATTCCTGCTTTAGATGTCTGAAGTATTATCTGATGTATATTGTTTTCCAGTGAGATCTTTGATACTTCCTAGGATGGCTAGGGAATTAGCTAATTTAAAAGCTACAGCTTGCCTCCTGTCAAGTACCATGAAGTCTGCCAAAATGCCAGAGAGAGAGATATGGAACATTAGTACTCTTACTTGAGACAAGAAAGGTTGTGCTCTTGCCTATTACTGGTAGACACAAATTGAAAAGGTTTTGAGGAAGAGTGGGGCAATGAATGGACTTGGGCCCAGGGATAAGCTGAAAGGAAAATGTAAAGGGACAGTATCAAGTTAGTAGACTCTCTATGGGCAGAGTGAGAAAAATTTTTGCTTTGAAAAAAGGTACTTAGACATTACTTGCCCAATACTCATTAGTAATCCAATGTGAATGCACCTTTGGAAGAAGCATATCCTGTAGAAAGTGATTTCAGCTTAAACTAAACTTCATTTTCACTGTTTATAAAGTAGTACCTTGACAGTGTCCTTTCAACAATTGCAGCAGAAAGAAATACAACATAAGTAGCCTGACAGCTATTTCAGGATAAGCTTTATACAGTGGGGTGAAAATCAAAGTACTAAGATGTGAAAACATTGCAGAAACAGATAATAGGCATTTAATTTTTAGCAGTGCTAATAATCAAAGGAAAAAGTGTGGCTACATTAAAGAAGGAAAAGAAAGGATTAGTAAAATAACTGCCTTGGTGTAAGCAGCATCATGGAGTATATTAAAGAAGAGAAAGACAACATAAGCAGTACACGTCAAAACACACAGCTTTCAAGGTACAACTGCACCACATCTGAGTGAGCAAATTCAAATTTTCTTTTTAGAGCTTCCATTTTCATTTACTTACTCTTTATCATATGAAGTAACAAGCTTTAACACAGCTTAGATCGTCATCAGTTACAGGCAATACAGAGATAATGATCACAGATATTGAAAGTCACATAAGCAACATTATATTGGCATTTGTGGTATCTGTGTGGTAGAAGATTAAAATATTGGTCATCATTACTCACACCACAACTTCTCTTCCTAATTATCTGTCATAGTTAAAATGGCTTCAAATTAGATAGTTTAGTCAAATGTTCCAGAAGCTATATGTAACAGACATGCTAGGAAACAAGCAGCACACAGAGGCAATCTTATTTATTTATTTTAAACCAAGAAAAAGCATTCTGGTTTATTATGTAGTCAACACAAGGAAGTGATAAAATTCAGTCTGGAAAATATATCCAGTTACACCTATCAAGCTTTGTTTGCAACAGGTAAGGCGATGAATTTTGTGACATGCCTTTTTAAAATATGACTAGTGTCATAACCTTCCTGTCATTACACTAATAAATGCACACATCTAAACAGCAGCAATTCCTTGCTGCAGCAACCACCTTCGAACACAAGGTGGTGATGTTACCTGGGCCACCAGGCTAGCCAAAGGAGCAGTAAGAACCTTTTTTGTACTGAACAATTCCTCCCTACCCCAGTGCTGGGCAGCATGCAGCCACACTGCCAGTTTCCACCCTGACTGTGTCTCCTAGGATAAATAGCATTTAAATGCGGTACAGGAAACACTACAGAGTAATTGGAAGGAATATTCCTTTTCAGACAAACACTCCATTCTCACTGGCTTCTTCTGTAAGTGCCTATCTGATGAGCAAGAGAAGTCCTGGACCACAGGAGCTGCATATGCCTGAGGGCCTTACCTGGAAATAAGTGATCTAGTTGCTGCATACCGTGAACAGAAAGGAGTGGGCTAGAGAAAGAAAAGCTGCATGGGCAAGCTGCAGGCATCACAGTGCTTACTGAGACAATAAAAGCATGGTATAAAGTTCAAAGTAGCTGAACTGTGTGTCTTATTGGGTAGTGTTAACAGAGGGAGTCTCTTCACATTGCACAAGGATACATCTGCCGCACTGTGAGATACTGAAGCATTACTTGGGCAGATGCTGAAACAGCTGGGAGAGGGGGAACACAGCAGTGCAGAGGCAAGCATGTTACATGAAGGACTGGCTTCACAACATGAGAGCAGACTGACTGCTAGAACTGTCTACAATGCTTTCCCTGAGTTTATTATAATGTGGGGAGAGATTTGAAGGAATCAGACAGGATGGCAGGCACAGCTCCGTTGTTAGAAGGGGATGTGCTGGAACTTGTAGGCTATAAACCTTGGGAGGCCTGATAAGGGAAACAGAGAGGCGCCGATGTGTTGGAGAATTACTGACCCGTGAGTCATGCTCGATAAAGGGCTGGAACTTAGAGTCTTTTGCAAAAATAGCTTAGTTGCTGACAGTCCAATTGTTAAAGTTTAAGTAGCTACCAATTAGCGCGCCCTGATAAGAACTTTGGAACATAATAACCAATCAGTTTAAAAAACGTATCTTCTAATTTTCTATATAAACGAGTGTTATATACAATAAAACGACACTCTCTCTCTGCTTGCATCAAGCTGTGTCCCATCTCTCAATCGAGGCATTTTAACACCCTATTCACTTGTGTGCAGTAAGAGAAGCTGCAGGTGCCAGGTTACAACACGTTTGTGCCAAGAATCACTTTTTCAGGCCCCTAGCAAGCAGCTCAGTATCCTCATCTGTCTTCTTTCAGAAGTTACTCTTGGTACCATGTTTTAAGTTTCAGGAGGTAGGAACACTTCCAGTCAATACACGTGTGAGATTCAGGACTAAACTAGGATCTATCATTTTTATCTCTAACAGCACTCCTTGACACTACAGTGAAAAGAAATAAAGCTAATTAATTTTGTGAATCCCAGCTCTAGAATATTATTTCTGAACTGTTGCATGTATTCAACCAGCTGACATTGGTTAGTCAATCCTTTAAAAAGTAACAAGTAAGTAGAACAGCACAGCAGACAACTGTTTCAAAGAGGAGTTAGACAGACAACTGCCTGAGGAAAAACAGTAATGAATTTGGGAAGATCAAAGGGGAACTTAGCTTCCATAAAAAGTCTGAAATTCGAAGTTAAAAACTCATGTGGAAAGAACAGGTTTTAGAAGAATAGGTGCAGATGTGCTAGAATATTACTACACTGCCTAAAAATGGACACACACTTTCATTACTCCGTCTCCCTCTTCCTAGAAGCTATCCCCTGCTAGACCAATAGCCTGGTGACAAATACACTGGAGATACTATTTCTTTCTAAAAGGCTCATGAAAACAGTATCAGACTTACAGCTTGTCCATTTGCTTCATAAAGTGGGCATTTTTGTTTGATCTTAGCCAATTCCATATTCACTTGTTTGCTGACCACAGCCATGGGATTTCCTCCTGGAAAACATATTGTATAGTTAACAACAGTACTCCTGCAAAGTTTGTCTGCAATTAAATAAAAATCCCACATTTAAAGCTATTTCAGAGACGAAACACACCAACTCCAGTGAAAAAAGCATTCCAGTGAAGTAGTAGAACACTGCCAAAGGTCTACTCTTCACAGCAATTCTTGCAACAAGGTCATGAAAAAAAACCCCTGCCCACCAACAGTTAAAGGACTGTATGTAAAAAGGGCTGATTATAAAAGCAGAGTCCTAGGGTGGCAGCAACCTTAGTACGATTAAGAGTTTATAGCCATAAATGTATCTTCAAAACATTTGCGAGCAGAGCGTTTGAAAAGCCAAGGAAAGCTCCCACAGCTGCACAGTAATTTCAGAAGTTTTTCTAAGTGTGGTGACATGGAGATGGAACCTAGAGAATTCAGTCCCTAAAAACTTAGTGGAACTCCAACAAGTGATTCTAGTGAATACAATCTATGAAGATGAACCATGTACCCCAACTGTACTTGGAAGATGTGTAAGTAAGCAGATTAGAAAACAATCTAGGAGATTCCACATAGAAACATGAGAAAGGCAGAAAGCATTGACTTTAAGCATCCAGAATCACTAAACACTAAAGCCTCTCTTGTAAGCACAGCAGACAAAAGGAAAAGAATGGTCACAAATGGGAAATGGCATAGAGAAGAAACGTGAGCTTCTTCCACAAAATTAACTTTGGGAAAAGATTTTCAGCTCTAGCTTCCCAATGTTCTCTGATTCTGCAATCCAATCAAACCCAGAGCTTTAGTTCAAAATAGAGAGGGATGTTCAGCCACCTAATACTTTCCTGTCTTTGACTGAACAAGCAGAAGAGTGTTTTGAAGTAGGTCTAAATAAGTTCATGTTTTAAGTTCAACAACCTACTAAAAATTTTAGTTCTTCCACAGTTTACTAACAAAATCAGAAAAGATCCTGTAACTTCTTTCACCATCCTGAACCACAAGCTCAACCCCTTTAGTAGTCTTTCCTCCTCACATCTCTTCCAGATTCAAAAATATGAAGGATGTCCTTCAAACCATCTCCTTCACTACATGAATCTTTCTTTCTCCATAGCATATGCTGCCTCATTAAAGGCAAAGGGTAGATTCTTTTGGAAAGGAAACACCCATGATGAATTAAATATAAAAAATATTACAGTCTTTCACTAAGAAACCTTAAATGTCTTTTACCAGGACTGTGCAACTTCAATACTCTGTCTGGAAATAGTTTCTGTATGCAATTTAATAAAGACTAATACGACAGACACCAAGTTTTGGCAGTCAGTAAAAATCAGTTAGGTTTTATTACAGGTTTTATAATATTTTATCATTTCACTGCATTACTGAAGGGTATTCTAATCTAAACACGTGCTCATCTTCTTAGTAGAGTAACCAGTATCAATAATTGATGCCATCCTATAAACCAGCATTAAATAGGAAGAAATACGGCTTGTTTGCCGTTATTTTTACAACTATTTCTGAAATCACTTAGAAAAAGAACTTTTGGGTTTTAAATCCTGACTCTAAGAAGGACTTTCTCTTTAGATTGGCTCTGTTCTTCATTCCCCCTCCTCCCTTTTTTTCCTGTGTAAAAGCAAAAACATATTCTATCTCTTTGGGGTCTCTCCCATCTTATAGCTTTGCTATTTATTTGCTCTTATTAACTTTGCTCTTAGCTACTCAACTAATCCCCTCACTAAATTCCTACTTCTCCATGTTCAGTTTCATGGTTATACTTTGGAAGATCCAAGGGAACAACTAAAAGAGTACCAAGAAATTCAGTCCAAGGACCTGAGCTCAGAGGCCACAGGCAGCTGGGTAAAGCAGCTTTAGAAAAACTTGCTCAGCACATGCAGTGAACCCAATGCAGATACCACCTTTAAAAGGAACTGGGCAGAGGAACAGACACACTAAAGGACAGAATGCCAAGGAAAGAGCAAAGAACTCCACTAAGCACAAGCAACCAGCAAAAGAATGGATCTTCAACAGTTTGATAATGTGACAAGCACCTGTATGACTTCAGTGACCAATGAGAACTATGACACCAACAAAAATCCCAGCTTTTAGTGCAGGCTGCCATCTGTTCTGAAGATTCACTAATGAAAAATACTAACTACCAAAGAGGCTGAACTAGAACGTCTACTTTTTAATAGTTAAAAATACCCAATTATTTTGGCCATGAAAGGAAACAGCATAATGTTTCAGATTTGTAACATCTTGCCCCACAATTTTCCTCCCCGCTTCTTTTTATTCTGAAAAACTCACCAAGTCCTGTTACCACCATTGCTCCTAGATCAGCAACATAGTTCCCTTTGCGAAAGGTAGCAACTCTTCCTCCTACTCGGTCCTTTTAAAAGCACAATATATTAAACCTCCTGTAACATTGGGCAATACACCTTACTTAAACATAATCACTGAAACTTCTACAGAACGTAGTATAAGTATTCTCTGATCCTAAGGTTCAATAAATAGAATGTACACTTTTCCAAGAATCTCTGCAAATGAACACTTGATCTCAATTAATTTGCCTAAGTTAAGGAATAAGATGTTTAAGTTGCATTAAAAAAAAAAAAAAAAGAAAGAAAAGGAAAGAAAAAGAAAAAGATGCCTAACCTGATTTGGACAGATTTAACTGTATCTACAGTAGGATCTAATGTGATTCTAAAATCAGTCCTTCATTGTCCATGGATAGATTAAGTTACATACTAGATTTCCTCCTCCCACTTCCTACTACAAAATCCAACAGCTATGTAGGAAATTATTCAGCTGTGCTTGAGAAAACTAAATTTTAGGGTTAGAAAAACCATCAGCCAATTACGCCTATCTATTCTCCACAGAAGAGCCAGCTATCAATCAAGAAGATAACCACAAATCAACAGCCCATTTTAGAAGCAGGAGAAAAGTTTTTGATTCTTGACACATACTACCGACTTAAGGATGACACTTATTTTCCTACTGCTTCAAACTTAATAAGGAAAAAAAGCCACCTTTCCCTATTATCAACTAGCTGGATGGTATCAGAGAGAAATATCAATTACAATTGGGCAATGATCCCAAACAGCTACCAATTCATACAAAAATGTAAACTTCTATTTTTAGTAATTATATCAGCAATTCAGAAGCATGTAAACTAACAGTCTAAAAGTTACAGAAAATGAGTGGACACAAAGAAACTACCACCTGAATCACTGAAATCATAATGTGAGAAAACACCAGACAGCCTTAAAAAATAAAAAAATACAGACTACTCAAGAAGAGATGCAGCAGTCTAGAGAAAAATGACTAAAAAATATTGTACATTATTTTAAAACAGCCTCTTGCTGGATCTACCTATTGGTTGTAACAAAGATGCATAGAACAAAACCCAGGTTACAGCACAGATCACCTTCTTTCAGCTTGGGGAAAAAAAAGCCCACAAACCAAAAAAACCACCAAAAGCCCAAAAGCAAACCAACCAACCAAAAAACCCCACAATACATTTAGGTGAGCAAGAGACTCCTAAACAATTAGGTTGTTGTGCTCTCCTTTGCTCTAGTGGTATGGAACCTGTGAAGGACAGAACCAGCAGCTCTTGCACCCTAGCAACAAGAGCAGTAGCTAGCAAAATGAAGAGCCTGAAACATTACTCTAATAAAAAACTTAAGCAGATTATTTTAATCTGTGCTAAAAAAGTGTCAGAAGTAAATACACAAACAAAATTAAGTCAGGAAGTAAAGCACAAGATAAATTCCAATTTAATTGGTCAATGGATTTATTTATTTTAAATGAGCATCAAGCTGTTCTCAATTGATTAATTATATGAAAAAAACTTTAACTTAAAAAAAAAAAAAAAAAGGAGATTCCACTTAGGGCTGGATATAAAAGAATACCTTATTACTGGAAGAACAATCAGCTACTTCACGTACCGCAAAATGTAGCTCTATATAACTTTAAAGCCTCTGTTAAGCACAAAGTAATAAAGAAGGAAAAGAATTAATGTAGACTTAAAAGGTGCCAAGAAAAATATCCTGCCTGATATTGTGTGGCAATTCCAAACAATGATTCTACTTAACGGGCAGGTTCTTGACATACAGACTTGTGTTCTGCTTTCCAGTAAAAAATCAGTTCCTGATCATGAAAGGAAGAAGATTCCAGCCTGTTACTGGTGTAAGCACATGACACTAGCATCTGACTATACAGTCCACCCCTGAGAAAGCATTAGCCAACTCCCAGTGAGAACAGATACACTCATTTCCTAGTGAGACAAGTTTAGTACTCAGCAATACATCCTGGCTGCCTGTAACCACACACAAGCTTAACCATCTTGGGCATGCTGCTGGGATACTTAGCCTTATTATGCTAGTACTGAATGTGGCTACTGGTTAAGTTTCTGTACGGAAGTAAAATAGCACAGAAATTCATACCCTGGCTTCCAGAACTGTGACATCCATTCCAAAACTCTGCAGCTGGCGAGCTGCTGCCAGCCCAGAGACTCCAGAACCAATAATGATCACCTTTCCAGTCTTCTTGGCTAAAGAAAAGGAAAAATAAGTTACAAGCTCTATATGTGCATTCCTACATTGTAAGCGGTCATGTTAAAGTTGCATTTAAGAGATACCAAAACCAAAAAGCAGCTTCCTTCTCATCAGTAGTTCTGACAGAACAAACTCTTTAACAAAATAGCCACAAAAAGAAAACTGAAGTAATTATGTACATAATATGGTAACAGTAAAACACTTTACAATTTTTCTTAATGAGACAGGTACAAGAAAAATACACCAGTAGCGCATCTGTGACAAGGAAGAAAACAGGAGGAAAAATACTTCTGAAGGATAATTGTTTGAACAAGAAACTGATTCTTATTAATTACTGTGGGACAAAGTATCATAGGTTTTATTTCTTTCTGCCCCAGAAGAATAAAACCTAGAAAGGACAGACAAGTTCAGCACTTGTAAAATTCAAGCATCATATAAGAATATAACAGATATAAGTACTGTATTACATTTCTGTCTTTTGTTATTCAAAGGAGGAACAAAGATAACTCATTAAACAGTGACAGTCGCCAAATTATCTACAGAAGATTTGCAAATATTTTCCCTCTCAGTGATTTACCTAAATACATGGCTTCTCCATGCCAAAATAAAAAACATGAACATCTACAGCCAGACAGCTCTCCAGCCTTTTTTTATTTTCTCAGCACTGCAATCCTAAAAAAAACACTCCAAAATTTGTCCTAATAAATCACAGAACAATAAAACAAAACTCTAATTAAAAACAATTTTCAAGTTTCTTACTTGGAAGGGGCTTCACTCTTTTGTAGATACCGAAGTTGATTAGACCATGCCGCTCCAGATAGCTGTGTACTCTGTGAACGAGCACCGTATCACCTACAAAATTGTAATGTTTTAAAATTATTCTGTACATTCGGCAGCACATATGTACTGAAAACATACTCACAAGCAAACGTATCACAGCAGCAACCCAGCAAAGTCACACTGAACACATCCCTTTCTGCACCCCCAGCTACCCTACTGAAGAATCCATCTTCTTGAAGAAGGCTAAGGTTAAAGTTTTCTGGAAACCACAAGCTGTTTTCCGTGCTATACTGCAGTTTTAAATACTGCCTGAACAGCTGTACAGGACGTTAAATGCTTCTATTTATCTAGTGTGGAAGAACACCTTTTCTGAAATTGACAGCAGAAATCTGGTGAACTGCACACAGAACTGTAATGCGATTTGCCAGTATTAAGCCAAGCCATTACTGGAGCAGAGAGTTCTAATTTTTGTTTTTATAACACAATAATTCACTATTTTGCAATACTTGACAGTGTATCTGCTTTCATTTCAGCATTATTTTCTTCTTTAATTACTTTTTCTTTATTGCTCCCCTCCACCCTGTTCCAGTTTATTGGAATCTTTTTTGAGAAGGGTGAAATGGCCTACATTTGGAAGCAGTAACTCCTTGCTCTTTTACTGCCTTCTTTCATCACAACTAGTCCGTTCAAGTCTTATGCAATTTTTTACTGCCTCCCAGAAAGCTTATGATTAAGAAAATCTCACAGCTGCAAACCACCGTGAAGTTGTAGCAAACTTTAAAAGCTGCATGTGAATTCACTCACAGGAAACTTCTGTAACAACTCATCTTTTTACCAGCTTTTTTGAATTCTGCTAGGGATATATTTCTTTACCAGACAAATGAACTCTAACAAACCTGAAACATGAGCATACTGCAATATCCCATTCTGTACACGAACGCTCATGGAGCTCCGCTAACAAAAGAACCCATCTGAAATCCTCTCTTGATTCTGAGCAGCTTTTCCACAATCAAAACTGAAAAAGAATAGCAATGATACATACAGTATGGTTTTGGCAGTAAGACTTGACTTACTATTATAAGGTGCTTCTAACTGTTGGATAGTTGCCTCAAATGTCAACTGAATCTTTGGGTTATCCAACCAGAGCTGCAGCTGTATTTAAACAAACACAAAGACACATTATATTAAGCAATACAAAAGAGTTATTTACCATGTGCGTGTTTGTTACCAAGTACTGTTAGTAGATGAAACCTTCTAATGAGTTAAACTTTGGCACTGCTATCCAAGCTGCACTGAGCTTTGCCTTCCAGTGTTCTTTAGAGTGCCACAGAATCCATTTTAAATTCCTACACCATTTCAAGTAAGTGGAAATGCATCAAGTTAGCAATCTCCTAATCACACATACAAGAAAACACACACTGAAAGAACAAAAGCTACAAAACTAAAGCACCGGAATGCTTCTATGTACAGCCCTCCTTCCACCTGCATGGCAAGTATGATACATGTGATATTTTAATTGGGCATGCAACACCAGCCAGCATCTGACTTTTCAGCATCAAATTTCATGTTATTTTTGTAAAAGCTACAGAAGTATTTGTCATCTTATGAAGTTTATTTATCTCAGACCTTTAATCATCTAATCCATCTTCACTGATACAAGACACTACCATGGACTACACAGGCCATGTATGTACAAGAAAGAAATGTAGAGGGCAGTTACAGTTCAAAAACCAAGCAGGAAGAGCTGCCTGTGAAATATTAATTATGTCACTTCATGCTAGAAAAAGAAGCACAGAATAACAGAATCACCACTGTTTCCCCAACAGAACTCCTACTTCATGGCATGGATGGCAATAGTTAATAAATAACATTTTACTGTTCAATATCTAGATCAGACATAGCATCTCCACATCATTTTACATTCCAGAATTAGCCACTTATTTAGGTATTTCTCTACAATTGCACTACTGAACTTCACAGCTCCTCACAGATACCAAATTAAAGTGGAAATCATACAAATATAATGAATAGGAAAGATTAAGAAAGAATTTCCATATAATTTGGGAGGCCATTTGAGGCAAATTCCATCTTTAGCATAGTACTCTCTTCCACTTGTTTTCCAAGTAATTTTTAACAATGTTCTTTCTGATAACTTCTGAACGTGGAACTACCCATTTTGTAGTACTATGTACCATAATGCTAAGATTCCATTCTCAGTTGGAAGAGTGCAAAGCCCACAATCTATATTTTTATATATAAATCTTTATGTGTATATATATATACACAATTACTTCCATTATGCACATTAGTTTACTTTTATTTAAAATTAATTTCATCTGCTATGTTATCACCCAGTTACGCATAAGTCTTCATCTTTTGTAGTTTTTGTAGTCCTCATTTTACTACCTAAAATAACTTAGTATGTGCAGCAAATTTCCATTTCTTTACAAATTCCGATTTGTAGACCCCCTATGAATACACAGAACAGTGCAGGCCTTAGAAGATTTTAAAGGCTTCAAACCACACCTGCCCTGCGCTGCCACAACAGATCATTTATCCTTACATTCTGCTTTGTAAATTTTCATGATCTGCTTTAACCAACTGTAATTTAGCAAGAGCTTTTACTGTTTTGGATGGGGTGGTTGGTTTTTTTTTCATTGGTTGGTTGTGATTTTTTGTTGTTGTTTTGGGGTGGGGGGGATTCATGTAGAAGATCACATGAAGTGGATCTCCTTTGTTCACTTTCTCATGAGTCCTTCGAAGAACTCGGA